TTAAGTATTTATATGTTTGCTAGATGTTTTGATTTTCTCTTCTCTAAACTGTCTGTTTAGATCCATTTCTTTTGAGTTGCCGTTTGTTATTAATACACTAATGTCTTTATATATCAGATGTATTAACTCTTTGTCAAAAGTGTAGAAAATATTTACTGCAATGTCTCGTGATATATGGTTTAGACATTTAAATTTATTAAGGAAAATCTTCCTCGAGCTATTTTTTAAATTTTTCTTGTCTGACTTAGATACTTCTTCTGTCATAAAACTAGTTATATTATTCTACCCGATTTTTATTGAATTTCAGATTGCAAATGCAACACCCTTTCAGGCGGAAAAGTGTTCTAAAATCCTCTCATTTACGACTAGGAAGGCAGCTCAGTGTGCTGCCTAGGATGCTCGAGGCCATGGGTTCAATTCTCAGCACTGGAAAAAGAACATTCACACCTAACTGGGAACATTTTATATATCTCCAGTTACTTGATCTCGTTTCATTTCTTTCCATAAGCTATTGTGTTCTTCATGTAGATCTCGAATCTTTCAGATATTTATAAATATGTGTGTATTTGCTATTGTGTCTGAAGTATGGCTTCTTTTCCATTTATATTGTCTCAAATAAAAAAATCTCTAAGTTTTATAGATCTATTTTTTATTCATGATCCTTGGCAAAAGCTTTTTCCATTTTCATGGGTTTTGACTAGATTTCTATGAATATGATTACAAGGCACATAATGTTGTTTGTACAGCAATTGACTACCTATGCAAATTGCTTCATTTTGATATTTGTGCGTTAGTTAAAACTTCTAAAATATATTTAAAATAATGGTGGTAATGATAAGCAGCACCATCTTTTTTTCTGTTTAAATTATTTCGTTTAATATCTACTATAATACTTGCTGATTTAGGAGAATTTGTATTGGATTGATTTCATTTCATATAGATAGATATTTTACTAAAAACAGCTCCTGAGTCTTGTCAGAGTCCCTCTGAAAATCATTATGGATGTGCGTATACATCTTCTCTCTTCTATTTGTTGTAAAGTTATTTCAGGATCTTTGCTTTACTTGTTCTCATTGTCATCATTTTTCTCATTTCTTTTAAATAAGTTCTAACTGCAAGTTTAATTTCATCTTTGATCTAACAGTGTTTTCTTCTATGAAATCTCAAGTAATTAATTTTATTTAATATGAAATCTGTGCAGCTCCTATTGATTATAACTTATTGAGACTTCTTTTGTGGCTAAGATCATGATCAGTATTTTTCAAGGATATTGAAAACGATGATGGATTATCTGTTATTAAATCACAAGATTAAGTAATAAATTATTCTTACTAATTTACCTAGAGTCTATTTATTTTGTACATTTTTTCCATGTGTGAAGAGTAAACATTGAGAGGTGAACTGTTTTCCAATGTCTATAAAACATTGGTTCAATGATCTGCTTTCTGAATTCTGCTCGGCCACTGATACGTGCACCCTTGCCTTTTGCTTTGTTTGTGGTTGCATGCTACAGCTTTGCTCCTCTTTCATTTTAACAAATTTCACATTTCCTTGTCTTGGTTGTGACTTCTATTTGGATTCAATTTTTTTGATTTTGTGCCTTTCAACATCATCATTTTTCAAATATAGTGTTATAAATGTGTATATGTATACACACGCAGAGTCATGTGTGGTTCAGTAATGGGATCCATTCTGCAAAATGTATCACTGAGCAGTTTTGTTGTGTGAAAACTGTAGAATACACTGAACTTACACAGGCTAAGAGGGCTCAGTGTCCACTAGGTGGTACAACATTATGGGACCACTGTCATATGTGTAGTTCATTTTTGATGGAATGTCACTATGTGGTGCATGACTGTGTGTGTGTTTGTGTGTGTGTGTGTGTGTGTGTGTATGAGAGAGAGAGAGAGTGAGAGAGAGAGAGAGAGAGAGAGAGATTTAGTGGCAATAACGAATGCTTTTTCTTCAAATTAGCAAAAAAGAAAAAGTTCACTTTCATAACTTGCACATTATATTTAAACACATAAATAGTACACTAGGATAAGAAAAAGAAATAATTGTTGGAAAAGAAGTAAAATCATTTTTATTTGCTGACGACATTATTATTTACTATAAAATTCAAAGGACATCTGTAAGTTCTTCAGTAGAACTAATAATACCTGAACTCAGCAAAGTCATAAATAAATGTCTAATATTTTTAACCAGTTCTGTTTCCATAAAATACAAATTATTTTAAACTAACACCATTTAAAATAGCATTGAAAAGAACAAAATAGCTAGAAATAATTTAATGAAAGAAGTGCATGACTGCTATGCTGGGAACCAAACAGTGCTGGGAAAAATAAGTGGAGAGGCATACAAGGGGAACAGGTTGGAGGCTCAATATTGTTAAGATGTCATTCTTGAAAATATGTTAATAGGCTCACTGCAAACCCCATAAAAATCCAAAGGGCTTTTCTTATAGACACTGACTAATGGATTCTACAGATACTTGGGGTGTTAGTCAGCTTTTGGTGACTGTGACCAAAATACCTGACAAGAACAACATAGAGGAGGAAAGATTTATTTGGGGCTCATTGTTTCATGGGTTTTGTCCAAGGTCAGTTGACTCCAAGTGAAACAGAATGGCATGGTGAACGCGTGGTGGTAGAGCAAAGCCACTCAGCTCATGGGACCAGGAAGCAGTGGGGAGGGGGCTACAGGAAGATATAACCCCAGAACACACCTCCAGTGACCCACCTCCTCCAGCCACGCCCCACCTGCCTACCACTACCACCCAGTCACTAATTAGTCCAATCATGTCACCTCGAACATTCCTGCATTAACACAGGAGCTTTGGGGGTCACCTCACATCCAAACCAAAACACATAGAAAACAAAGATGTGGAAAAGTCAAGACAGTTCTTCATAGATGAATTCAAGACTTTCTTTAAGCTGCAGTCTTCAAACCAAAAATGGCATTGGCATAAGAAAAGACAGATAGACCAATGGTACAGAGTAGAAAATCTAGAAATAGACATGCTTAAACTATAGATTGATTTTTGAATGTTTTTATGACCTGGTAATGGGCAGATTTCTTACACAGAATACTAATTAGCCATAAAAATATGAATAGATTGGACTTCTTCAAAATTAGGAATTTCTTCTCATCAAAGGACATAGTTAAGAAAATGAAAAGCAAGCCAAAGATGAGGGGAATCTTCACAATACGTAACTCAGACAAATATTTCTATCCAAAATAGAAAGCAAATAACTATGCATTGATAAGTAAAAGATAACCCAATAATACAAGTGGGCCCACCTCACAAAAGAAAATATATGAATTTCCAAAAAACACATGAAAATGTACTGTACATGATTAGTCACTAAAGAAATATGAATTAGAACTAGTATGAGATACCACATTACACACACTAGCATGGCTAACGTTAGAGGGTCTATTTCTAATAGTCTTTGAAAAACAGCTTAAAAAGTTGTAAAGTGCTTAAACATATTCCTAAACGACCACCCACAGTCTCTTTCCTAGGTAATGAAAACATTTTGCCATAAACAGACTTCTATAAGAACAGCAGTTTTATCCATTCCAGACTCAAACTGGAATGGATCCAAATGTCCATCAGCAGGGAGTTGGATGAGCAGATTGTGGTCGATTCACACAATGGAAAATCATTCCACAATAAAATAAAAAAATAAACACAACAGCACGATGAGGAGCACGACAGTAGACACTAAAGCAGAGACAATGTTCTTTTCCATTTATAGGAAACCCCAAATGGGCAAAATTAGCATGTGGTGATAGAAATTCCAGCAACGTTTGTCCCTGGGAAGTTGACTGTGGTCAGCTCACGGTTTGAGGGGTGAGGCATACTCTTCTGTTTTGATCTCTCCAACAGCATGTCACCCCATGACTCCTTTGCAATCTCCACTGTCTCTTTGGGGCTCGTGGGACACACTGATTGCTTTTTGAGCTCTGGGTGCATCTTCTACCACAACAGCAATGAGCACTCCTCTGTCTAGTTTTTGTCTTGAGAAGTTTTTCATCATCCTCTGCCATTTTATTTGTGTTCTGAATCTAATGCTTCATCGTTTAAGTATCTTAGTTTTAGTAAATGAGAAGATGAATAGTTCTCTTCAGCCTATGATCTTTAACCAGAAACTTTGTTCACAGGAATTTAAAATAAGGGGAGTTGGTGTTTTCATGCCCTGCTGCACATTAGGTCCTGGGAAGTGTGCACAGGTCTCTTCTGGTTTGACAAAGAAAGCTTTGGGTTTTCATAACATTTAGAAATACAGAGAAGTTGATTAAAACACTGTTATTAGAGCAATAAAATCATCAACTATGAATCAGAATTAAAGAGTCAGAGTTCAAATTATTTTCACAGGAAATGACTAATTTCTGAAATTCAAGTTGCCTAAGAAGAGTCCGTGTTCATGACAATAGCATAGACAGATTTGTAGTGAATCAACGCAGAACCTGATGTCCCAGGAAATAGCTTTGATATTCTTGGAAATTCCCAACTTACCATATTGTTATCATCATTTTTGTTACTATCATTGTCACACATTTATGAATTGATTTGTGGCATAGGATGATATTTTTCTCTTAATAGCTATAAGTCAAAGAGGGGACATCTTGTTTTTATTTTTCTGAGATTTATTCTCTTTTAGTTGTTAATTAAGATGTACTTTCAAGGTTAGATTTTGTTTTTCATTCTCTATGGATGGCCTGCTTTATCTCAATTTTGCACAAATCTAAATCTTTATTTCAGAAATAGTCTTTCTTTGCAAAGGCTTTGATCAGGGAAGGATTTTGTAAGCCTTTTAGATAAGGCCTTCATCATCTCCGTGCTTTCTTCCATTGTTTCATCCCATCTATCTGGGTAACTCTGCTCCGGACCACCTATTTAATATATGTTGGTTCTTCATAGCCCAATCTTCATGTATAAGATCCTCTACAAGCATCTCAGAATCTTGATTTCCCATGGTATTCTTTTCCCTTAGGATGTCCACAGAAGAGCAGAGTGTAGACGACAGTACCATCTATGAGGTTATATTCCATCACTTCAAAAGACACAAAGTGGAGATTTCAAATGCCATAAAAAAGACATTTCCTTTCCTCGAGGGCCTCCGTGACCGTGAACTCATTACCAATAAAATGTTTGAAGTAAGTGAAGTTTATTATGTCACAACCTGGTAAACAAGCCCCAAATTAAGTTATGCTTACCTTTCATGCAATATGATTCATACAATATAACATAAAGTAAAAATTTAAGATAATTGTAGTGAATTGATAAATGATCTTATTGAATTGATTTGTTGAAATAGCAGTAAACACAATATTTTATTTCAACTAATATCAACTTAAAATACCTAGCTCTAAGAACATTAAAATCCAATGGCAAATTGATGTGTTGTTAGAATGAATTTAAGAGTGGATGATTGCTGTTATATCTGCAACATCTTTTAACAAGTTTTCTTTTCTTTTTTGTTTTGAAGGGGCGGGTACTTCTGGAGTCTTGGAATTGGGATCAATCTTTGGTCATTATGGAGATACAGAGCACTGACTCTTTGTTTTCTCCTATGAATATGCTTTCTCGTGGCCAAGTTCATAGTAAGGAGGAATGGTCACTTGATTTCCTTGAGCCCTTCAGGCCAAGTCAGTACTGGGGGAAGTGCAGAGGTGTCCAGTCAATAGATCAGCCCTCATCACCTGATAAGTCTATTCCCAAAGCACCTTGGCCAGGCTCTTTAGAGGGCTACATGTCAGTTAACTATGAACCCACTTTCATCTTTGCTCTTTCTTACATTAAATGTAAATAAGGATGAGGAGATCAGCCTTACCATTGGGTATTTTTTAAGAGATAGGATTTACTTGTTTCATTTAGTAGCTATCCAAATGCACAAAAATTCTGAAGCTTTACATGAGATGATACCTATGTAGAGAAATTGAAATACATTAACTATAAAATTACTTTCTAGCATTCTTTTGTAACGTAGAAGTCTCTATTTAAATTTTTCCATTCACTTCTTTTTAAAGGATTCTCAAGAGTCTTGTAGAAACCTGGTCCCTGTACAAAGAGTGGTGTACAATGTTCTCTGTGAACTGGAGAAGAAATTCAACCTGGATTTATGCGAAGCATTGTTCAGTGAGGTCAACTTGCAGGAATACCCTGATTTAATTCGTGTTCGTAGAAGCTTTGAACATGGTAATTAGATATATTACCACATTTTGAGGCCCAGGGTCAATTTTCTTTTTCAACAAGCATATCTGAAGCTTCCACCACATGCAAAAAGGTCACGTGCCATGGGCTATAGTAGTTAATAAGTCAGACATGTCAGGTGCTAATGACAGAATGGCTGTTCAGTAAGCACCACTGGACGTCTGTTCAGCTGGGTTTTTAGACTCAGGGCAACCAGAGTCATATTGGTGCCAGGTTTACTTAAAAAAGCATAGAACTAGAAACAAAGTCCCAAGAGGGATGCATGACCCTGTCTCTTCAGTGGGAAACCTTTCAGTGGACTACATAGAAGTCCACCAAGTTCACTACTACACACCTTGAGCGACTGCTTAGCTCTGGGTGCAGGGTCCACCCTGGGTTAGCACCACATGCCCATGGAATCAAGACCTCTTGGAATTCCAAAGTCCTGGTTTTCAGGTAGCCCACAGGGGACAAGCCAAGTAATGAATCACCATTGAAGGAAGACCTTCATAATGTTGTAGCTTTCTACAGGAATTAGTAGTCCCTCTCAGGCAACTAACTAGTCATGGGTCATTTTTAACTCTAAAGCCCAGTGTTTGCCTAGTAGCCCAGCAAAAAGGCCCCTTTTTATTAGGTTTCCAGAGTAATGAGTTAGAAAGGTAATCCTGGGTCAAACTGTCCTAAAAGAATAAGAAATGGTTTTGTTAACTCTCTAATCAAAAGGGGCAAAACCATATATTAATCAAATAATCAACATGTATTTTTGGTGTTATACAAAACTAAAGATTTGATTCTTCACTTTTTCCAAGAAGGCATGATTCATACTTTTATTGGTATGCAATAAAAAGGATGCCCCCCAATATTTTTGTTTGTTTGGTTGGTTTTGTACTTGCATAGACAATTTTTTTATTCCAACAGTTTGGTCTCAACCAAGTTCTCAAAATATAAGATAGAGACATCACAAGTAAAACAGACACATCCCCCGAAGAGGAGAGGGAATAGGTGTGCAAAAGTATGTCTGTGAAACCGGCAAATTGGATTCGGCTGAATTTGAGAGTGAGCAGCAATGTAGGAACCAACTCTAGTGAGATAAATCCAAGGGAGGCTGCGAAGGTTCTGGCATTGAATGCCAAGAAGTTGAGGTTTATTTCCTAGGCAATAAGAGCTATGACAGGTTTATAAACCAGGGTGAAAATGTAAAAGCAGGGACCTATGGCTTGTTGACGTGTGTCAGTAGTTACCTTATATAATAAAGAACAGAATAATTTCTCTAGCAGGTCACAAAGGAGATTGAACACCCAGGCACCAAGGGCAAGTCATATTCTATTTATCATAGGACGCCCCGCAGGCTGGAGCTACAAGAGGAACAGTGTTACCTTCACTGTCCACTTCCCAGGGGCTTCGACCTCTTTCTGGATTGCAGACACCCCCCTCTCTGGCCTTAGCACCCACATCTCCTGTGTTTGTTTCCAGTACTCCCAGTGCTTGGGTGATCCAAGCCTAAAGTTCATGGCCAGGGTGGCAGCACTGCCCCCACCCGCAGCACAACCAGCACGCCTGTCCTCAGGGGACATGCTGCCACCTCCTGGGCCCTGATGTCCCCTCCATCTGTCCTGTATCTTGTATACTCCTTTGGAAACTATTCATCCTGCCTGACCCTCTTCAGACCAAGCCCCCCTTGTTTCTGGCCCTATCTTTAAAGCCATTGGGACTTCCCCTTTCATACACTGATCTCTCCAAGGTCCCAGACTCTGAACAGTTTATTCCTACAGTTCAAACAGTTCAGAAAAGACATTTCACTTCTATTATTTATTTTGAAATTTGCCTTGCTATCCTCTGAATATTTTTTAGAGGAGTATCTCAGCTTACAGTGTATCCCCTCCCACTGAGTATCTCCTTAGTGTGTGGGAAGCATAGACTCCTTTGTGGGAGTCTCCTCTGTTTTGTCGCAGGGTGGGAAGGTGAACTGTGTCATGCGGGATTCACTGAACTCTGAGTAACTGAGGGACTGGAAGTTCTTAAATGTGTAATTTCGAGATGGTGTACCTGGTCCCTGCCAGAGATCTCTAATTGCCTTCTTCTCCTTCCCTCTCTTCAGAGGTGAGAATGCTATATCCCCAAGAAGATAATGGAGAAGAGAGGCAGGAAAGGCTTGAACAAGGTAATTACAACTGGATAAAACATTTCTCATCTGCTCAAAAGAAAAGGAAACAAGGGCATCGTGCAGTAGAGACTGTGAACCAGGGAAGAAATGTGGAAGGACCATGGAGATGGCAAGGAGGGGTGATTTGTATGGACCTCGTGTTAGTCAACTTTCTGTCACTGTGACAAAACACTTGAGAGAAATCAGCTTAAAGGAGGAAAGATTTATTGTGGTCCGTGGTTTCAGAGGTTTCAGTCCACAGTGTCTTGGCCCCATCATTGTGGGCCTGTTAGTGAGGCAGAACATCATGGCAGAAGTGGAGCAAAGCTGCTCAACTCATGGCAGCCAGAAAGCAAAGAGAGACTAGGGGCACATTGTCCCAGTGGCCTGACTTCCTCCCATTAGGCCCCACCTCTTAAAGTCTCCACTAGCTCCCATAATGCCTTGGGGGATCATTATAATCCCAACCCTAACTGGCCCCAACAGGATGTGGGATGCTGGGAAATAGCATAACCAGAGATAGCCAGCCCAGCAACCATGAGGAAGGAACCAGAGCTCAGTGGGCCAGGAAAACAGATTTAAGGAGACTGACTACCAGGAAGTAATTGTGATTTAGGAAGGTCCCTGCAGGAGAAGATTAGTATGAAGCTGTGAAGGGCTAAGAAAAATGACCCATGGCCAACATAAAGGAGAAAGACCCTTAGCAAAAGAAAAACAATGGTTCTATCTGTGCCTTCCCACAGCACTCGACACCTGCGGGGTGGAAGTTCTCCTTACACCAACCAAACTTCCAGTTCTCTGCAGACAGCCATGGGGTGTCCTATAGTTCGCACAGCCCACAGGTTGAGGACCATGCTCCATAAGACCATCCCACTTGTCAGTTGCAAGTTCCAGGGTGTGACCTCTGTTTCTGACCAATTGACTGTAAATTGGAGGTCTCCCTACCCCTCCTTGGGTTGGATGGTTTGTTAGTATGGATCACAGAACTCAGAGAAGTTTTTACTGATGTTCACCCATTTGTTTAAAGGGTACAACTCAGTCAAATGGAAGAGATGTTCAGAGCAAAGTAATGGAGAGCTCACATGCCCAGCTTTGGCACCGCACTCTCCCAGCACTGCTGTGTTTGCCAATCCACAAGTTCTCTGAACCCTGTCATTAGGGATTTTCTTTTTTCTTTCTAGAAAACCTACTATACTGACAGGCATGATGGATGAAATGGACTTCTATCAATGGACCACTGATAGAAGTCAACTTCTATCCCCTCTCCCCTCCCTGGAGGTCAGATCCTTCAACCTTCTAACCACTCTCAGTTCCTTCCATCCTTAGGAACATTCCAAAACTCACCTCTTTAGCATAAACTCAGGTGTTAATGAAAGGGACTGGTTGTGAGTAACAAAAATGCTCTTTCCACCTTTATCACTTAGGACATTACAAGGGGTTCCAGGCGCTGTGGCCAGGATGAAGACCAAAATATCTATTTCTCATTCTATCTCAGTGTCACACTTCACGACAGCAGAAGCCCGGGCTGGTTTCAATACAGTGACTGCTGTCCAAGAGCAGGACTCTCCCGGGAGGAAAACAGACATAGACACAGAGAGGAAGTGGCCAAGATGTGAAAGAGCTTATGGGGCCTTGAGAAGGCAGGAAGGAGGAGGGGCAGAAGGGGGCAAAGGACAATGATAAAAAATAAAGAGCTCTGTGTCCTTAGCAGCTCACCTCGAATGTCCACTCTCTGCTGTGATGATTAGTGCCCAGGCTGTCATCGTGTTATTGTAATTAGGGCAAAGGCCCTGGCTCTGGGGGCCCCAAAGGACTAGGTTCAGTCACCCAACCCAAGATGTTGGTCAGAGAGAGGAGTGTGGTGAGGACAGGAAAAGAGCCGTAATCAGTGTGGCCATGCTGGGCAGAGCAGGGAAGGTCTAGTGAGGTAAGATCTGACTCCCAGGGGCTGGTAAGAACGTCGAGGTGTCATAGTGGGGTTTAGGGGTTTGCGCTGCTGGAGAGTGTACAGAGCTGGTAAGGCAGCCGATCCTGGTCCTGGTCTGGTGGGTCGTCATATCAGGACTGGGTCTGTGGCTCTCTGAGGAAGTCACCATTGCTCAGGGGGACAATTCAGTTCCCATCCAAAGATGATTGCTACTGCTTAGATAGCCATTCTAGTTCAGGGTTCATTGCTCCTAGTTGGGGCAGGGGGCAGTCTCCTTGTGCCTACAAGAGTTGCTATTTCTGGGAAGTTTAGGGCAATGATTGGAAAGTTCTAGGCATGGCTCTGGCAGTATAGAAGAGAATGTTATAAAAGCCGGCAGTTGCCAATCTGTTAATTATAATATCCTTTCAATTTTTGAAAATACCTGAATTAGTCTTATCTTGGTGCCTTCAGCCGCAAAGAGAAATACCAGTTTTAGTTGAACACTCCTGAAATGATTGTCATGCTTGTATGCAGAGTTGAGCAGGAGGAGAGAGATACAAAATGAAGGCATGGACGCCAAATTTGCATCCTGCTTTTAGTTACCTGTTGGGCATCTGCAAGTCCAAGAGAAGAGTCAGTGCTTTTAGCAAAAGCAGCCTCTAAGGTCCTGTTGTAATTAGAGATGGTCATCACTTATAAGCCCTTGTTATAAAGGAGGAAACTGAAATCTAGAAGCCACATATGGAGTTTGCCTGGGGTCAAAGGAGCAAGGGAAAAGGATTCTTAGCCCCATGTTGCTGCCCAGGTTGTCTAATGAAAAAGGCAGGAACATGAAACCAAAGTACGGGAAGAGGTGCAGACAGAAAGATAAAGGAAACAGAGGATGCCCGGAGAGGGAGGAGTGAGGCAGACCAGTCGCTGATCCCCACTGGAGGTCACCAAGGAGGAGGCAGACCAGTCGCTGATCCTCACTGGAGGCCACCAAGGAGGAGCCACAGGCTGTGGCAGGAGGCCTGGTATGGGAGGGCGGGAACCAGGCGGCCAGGGCTTCTAGGAACTCAGGTAGGGCCAAGGGGCAGGCCAGCTGGGGACAAAAGCAGGCCATCTCCAGGTGCCAGAGTAACTCACAGAGGACCCTAGTGAGGGGGCCCAGTGAGACCCTCAGACAGGGCTGCAGCTGACCCAGACCCCACTCTTGAGACTGAAGTCAGGAGGGAACTTCCAGCTCCAGATGAGTCTGGATTGACACTTTGAGGGGTCTCTACCATCTGTGTTGTAAAGACAAAAAGGACAAAACCCATCCTTCAGTTTCTGAGATCAACTTCTAATTTCTTCTTCTAGGAACGGGGGAGAACTCTTTTCTGCGAAGACTGACCTGGCCACAGCACTCAGATCCCTCGTCTTACAATGGTCTGTTGCTGTTGCCTCTTGTGGGACCCTTTGCTGTCTTACTCCATTCTGGAATGTTCTGTGAGGCTGCTTCCTTGCGTGACTGATTGCCCAGAACTTTCAACCTTTGCATCTGTAGCTTCTCCAAGTTTGGAAATTAAATAACAGAGATTTTTAATTAAAGACCCTCGGGGTTGCCTAGGAGGGATTCTTCTTCCCTACCCCTTGCATGCACTTGCTGCCAGTCCTGGCACCAGCTCTGGGTCTGGGCACTTGTCCCGAGCCCCTGGCTTCAGTTTCCTGCCTTGCTTAAATCTGCCTAGTGCCTTTGGTCACATGTCCAGTGGGGGCCCGTGTTGTGGCGGCTGGAGGGGTGCAATGAGCCTGTGGGGAAAATATCATCCCTCTTGGGTCCAACACATGAGACCATGACACCAGGGTGCCTCTCATAGGACACCTTCGCTCACCATCCCTGGGGCTCAGACACCAGGGGGTCTCTTCGAAAACCATTTGGTACTTTAACAACTCTTGACCTTCCTGTAATCCAAAATGCTCTTAATAATATATCATCCAATTATTCAAAATATTATACATTTAAGATAGTAATTATGATGACTTTATTTTTTCTGATCAGTTACAATATCGCATATATTGATACAGGTAATATTTTATTTATCTTCTCAAATACTTTAAAATGATGTTTTATCACCCTCTTTCTCAGAAGAGAAAGAGTTGGTTTAGAGAGTTTGATTTTTTTTTTTTTTTTGTAGTTTCACCCAACTAAGAATTGGGATTGAACTCTGCTATAAAATAGGGTCAGAGCAGGAATATTGATGCTCTGCTGCCTGGGTTCGAATCCTGCCTCTGCAATCTTGGGCAAGGAACCTCCCCCTTTCACCACTTAGTAGTATATACCTTACAGGGTTGATGTATCTAAACAAGTTGTACCAATGAAAGCTTTCACAATCGTGCCTGGAACTTCATCTATGTTGCATGACTTTGTCATCTTTACTAATTTAATTACCATTGCTATTCGTACCTGCCTCCAGAGTCTAACCTTTTAATCATGACAGTAATTTTTTGGGGGGAGGGAGTGCCAGGGATTGAACTCAGGGGCACTCAACCACTCAGCCACATCCCAGCTCTATTTTGTATTTTATTTAGATATAGGGTCTCACTGAGTTGCTTAGCACCTTGCCATTGCTGAGGCTGGCTTTGAACTCTCAATCCTCCTGCCTCAGCCTCCCAAGCTGCTGGGATTACAGGTGTGTACCTCTGTGCCTGGCCAACCATGACAGTAAATTTTGATATACTCTCTATCTATATGTCTGACATGAATGTTTGTTGTGGATCTAATTATTTCTCAACCAGGAGAAATGATGAACAAAGCAATACCAACCTCAGAGCAGGAAATTAAATTGAGATTCCCCACCTCTAAAGTACACTCATGTGTGTAGAATAACTTTTATGTCTTTATTCCATGACTCTTCTTTGGAAACAAGTCTCCAGGGAATGCCCAACAAGGAGGATGTTATTTAAGAAAATATTTTTAAAATCAGAAATACATTGTTACAGAATATTTTCAGAGTGACTTTTAAAAGCATAATTATACTTTTAGAAACTACTTTTATTCAAAAAAATTGACATTTAAATTATAAAAAAAATACAACAAGCACGAGCCATGTTCTTAATTGTCCATCTACCAGTGCAGATAGTGGAAGCAGGAAGGAATGAATGGATGGAAAGGTGATTAATAACGAGCAGAGAAGGGATTCAGTAGGGGCAGTGAGCATGTGGGAGAGACAAGTCAGTTCTTCATGAATCTCCCTGTGGTCTGGGGCAACCCTACCTGGGGTTAGAATCTTAGAACTCAGTGATGAGAACCAGATGAATATGAAGAGAAATTTCAACCTGAAACCCAAATGATGCACAGACAGCACAATAAGTCATCAACGAGTGTGTCCAACAGTGAGCCAGGAGGACACTGCCTGTGGCATGCACAGGGGAATAAAGGCCGTGTCTCACGCCCACAACACGAAGAAGCAGTTCCAAGGAGCTTTGGGTGGTGGCACAAAACATGCACCTGCTCTAAGTTCCACATTAAAACTTCTGTAAAAACTTTTAAAATAATTTTTCCATAACCCACTTTGTTTAGAAAAAGAGCACTAAATGGAAAAAAATGCAACTGCAAAAAAATACACTTGTCCACTCGCAGACTATCGAGGTCCCTGGAAACAGAATGGTGTGGGTAGTTGAAGTCAGCAATGGGCCAGGGAAGTTCACCAGGGGGAGGAGGTGTTCCCACCCCAGGTTTGTGTGCTTGGAATTCATTCTTTGCCCTCCTGCTCCACTCTTCCCTCTACCTGTAGCTTCTCACCTCTGTTATTTATTTATTTATTTATTTATTTATTTATTTATTTATTGCCAACTCTCCTTGATTCCAGCGTGAGAGACATTAGAAAAAGTTTGCACAATTGGAGGAAGTATAGCCCCACCACGACACTGGGGAGCCACTGAGTTGGTAGCTGCTCCTCCCCATGGCTCTCCCCACCTTCCACCACGCGGGCCAGGCTTCTGCTCACCAGCCTAGAGTGGGCAACCTTCAGTCCCCTCCAGCCTCCTGTTGACGCTTCTGCTTGCTGCATCTTCCCTTTGGAGCACTCAGCTCTTCTCTCAACTGAGTCAAATTCTCTCTACCTTAAGATCTTCCAGTGATTTGTATTTTCCTATTTGATCCTGATTGATGCAAGGGGCGAATAAAATATCTATGAATTAAAATGTGGTTTAGGTACAGACCTACCCGAAAATGAACTCTCGGCGCATCCTTGCGAAGCAGAAGAGAGAAATGTAAATAAAAGAGAGCCGGCCCAAGACCCAAATGGTGCAGTAGGAAGCCACCAAGGAAATGAGCAATGCCCCCGAGAGTCAGAGCCAGTAGGTAAGGCTGACTCACTTCCTTTATGTGAGTGTGGAGGGGCTAAGAGGCCCTAGAGAAATAAAAGGCAAAAGAAGGGCTGGGGTTGGGGCTCAGCAGTCGAGCGCTCACCTAGCATGTGCAAGGCCATATAAAATATAAAAATAAATAAATAAAATAAAGGTATTGCATCCAACTGCAACTAAAAAATAAATATATATATATTTTTTTAAAAGGCAAAAGAAGTCAGAGAGGGATTGGCCAGAGAAACAGTGAAGCACAGACACCTTCACAACTGCAGGTGGCAATATATGCAAACAAGGCTACAGATAGAAATGTGGGAAGGAAGGAGAGACAGAATGAAATAGAACAAAATGCACACAGAGCAGAGCGAGGTTCTACTGGGTCTCAACCGGGGTCTTTTTTAAACTTCAGAGTCCCACCAACACATGGCTGCCCACGTGGACCGTGGAGAGGCGAGCGTGGGGACACCCAGCCCGTTGCCCCACTGTGTAGAAAGTAAGTGTCACTTACCTTACCCTTTTGTTTTTCCCCAGATCCTCCATGTTTGTGGGGTTATCAATTGCCTTTTTAACCACCCTAATCATTTTAGAGCTGATTTACATAATATGTTTATATTTATATATATTTATTATGTACAATGTGTAATAATATATATTTTGTGTAATTTATAGGTATTATATACAATATGATGAAAATATATACATATTAGATACATACATAGATAGAAATGACTAATTGAGCTAAAATTGACATGTTTTATTTTACATATTTATAATTTTTATGGTGAGAACACTTAAAATCCATGACCTCAGCAATTTTAAGAATACAATACTATTATTAACTATAGTCATCATGTTATACAGTAGATCTCTTGAACTTATTCCTCCTAATAGAAATCTTATATCCCACATCTCCTCTAACACCTTCCTCTCTCCCAGCAGCTACTGATAGATACCATTACCCCCTCTGCTTCTATGATCATGATTAATACTTTCACACTCAACATATAAGTGAGATCATGCCATGGGACTTTTTCTGTGTCTGGCTTATTTCACTTAACATAATATTTTCCTGGTTCATTCATGTTGTCGTGAATGACAGGATTTTTTTCTTCTTTTCTAAGGCTGGTATTTTGCATGTATATTCCATTTTCATGGTCTGTTGTTAGGTATTTAGGTTGATTTCATATCTTGGGATTTGTCAATAATGCTGTGTAATAAGCATGGGAGTTTAGATATCTCTTTGACACACTGATTTTAATTCCTTTGGATATGTACCCAGTGGGGAGATTGTTGGATGGTATGGTAGCTCTACTTGAATTTTTTGTGGAACCTCCATTCTGTTTCCCATAAGGCTATACTAATTTACATTCCCACCAACAATGTGCAAAGATTCCCTTCTCTCTCCTTTCACACCAACACTCACTATCTTTTGTCTTTTTTATAATAACCATTCTAACAGGTATGAGGTGATATTTCATTGTGGTTTTATTTGTAATTCCCTGATGAACTGTGATGTTCACCTTTGCATACACTCACTGGCCATTTGTAAATCTGTGTTGGGTAGACGTGGTACACGTGGGCGTTCTTTTCTTGTTCCTGATCTTAAAAGGAAACCTTTCAACTTTTCACTGTCTGATGCTTGCTGTGTTTGTCCTATGTGGCCTTTATTTACAACAACAGTATAACTTCCATTTTGATCATGAATTCGGTCTCCTTATTTCTTGTGGTGTGTCTTGGTGTAGTTTTGTTTGGATTGAGTCTGATTGGAGTCCTTTGACTTTCCTGTACCTGGAAATTTGTATCTTTTCCAAAATTGGGAACATATTCTGCTATTATTTCTTCAAATAAGATTTCTACCCCTTTGTTTTTCTCTGCTCCTCTACAGACCACTATGACTCTAAAATTTACTCTTTTGAAATGTCTCAAAAAACCTGTAAGTTTTCCTCACTCCTTTTAATTTTTCTCTTCTGCCTAAGTGTTGTCAAGTAACCTGTTTTCAAATTCACAGATTATTTCTTCTGCTTGATCAATTCTGCTGTTGACTTTCAGTTGCATTTTTTTCATTGCATTCATTGTATTTTCTTTTTTAAATTTATTTTTTAGTTATAGGAGGACATAATATCTTTATTTTATTTTTTATGTGGTGCTGAGTATCAAACCCAGTGCCTCATGCATGATAGGCAAGCACTCTACCTCTGAGCCACAACCCAAGCCCCTAATTCATTATATTTTCAGCACCAGAATTTCTGTTTTAGTTGTTTTTCTATTGTTTTTGTTTTGTTTTGTTTGAAATTTCAACCTCTGTTAAATTTCTCACTTTGGTCAATTATTGTCTTCCTGATTTCACTGAGTTGTTTCTCTGTATGTTCTTGAAGTTCACAGAGCTCTCCTAAAACAATTATTTTGAATGTTTTCTCAGGTGGCTCATATATCCATTTCTTTGGGGCATGCTACTGGGACACGGTGGTGTTCCTTTGTTGATATTCTGACTTCCTGATTTTTCAAGTTTCTTATTACCTCAAATTTCTGTACATTTGAGGAAGTGGGGGCTTGTTCCAGTCTCCGAAAACTGGTTTTATCCTAGAAAGCCTTTGCCAGTCTGCTGACCCAGAGATCTGTGGCAGGGCGTCTGGTGTGGTCCAAGGACAGGCTTGCTGGCCCAGTGCCTAGGACAGCCAGTGAGTCGTCCTGGGCTAGGGTGGACCTAGACTCAGAGATTGCAGAGCTCTTGGGGGGCTACAGTGGAAGCTGAAGCCTGGCACCACTGGGCTGTCCAGGTGCTGGGGTGGGCCTTTGGCTTGATGCTCTGGGGCTGATCTGGAATGGACCTGATCTGAAGTGTGGGACTGCTGAGGCTGACCTGGTATTGAGTCACCTGTGACCAAATTCACAGGACTGGCCATCATCCTGGGACTGTGGGACTCAGCCTGGGGTTGGGCAGGCTTGAAGGCTCAGACCACAGGAATGGGCTGGAATCTGAAGTCATCTGGGCCTGCTCAGCACTGAGTTTTGCTGGGGAAGACCCAGTGTTGGAATATAAGACAAAGTCTAGCTCTTACTTCCCTCTCCCTCCCCCAGGTGAAGGGTCTCTCCGTGCTGTGCTGCCTGAGGTTAGGGAAGGCATGACCCAGATTATGTAAGACAGTCCTTTCTGCCATGTTTTCTTAATTTTTTGCCTCACCTAGATGCTGTGATCTCTCACCTGGTTCCCACCGCTCTTGTGAAGGTTTTTTCGTGCACACAGTTGTTCAGATTGGTGTTTCTGTGGGGGGATGAACAATGGAGAGTTCTATTCCACCAACTTGCTCTGCCCCTCCCCAATTTTCTAATTATATCTTCACTTTTCTGTGAGAGCAACAATTCTGCTTGAGGTCCCACTAACTGCCTGCCCCGCCCAGACGCGGCCTTTGGGCACACCCTCTGGTGGTTTTTAAGAGCTGTGAAAGGCAAGGGAGAGAGGGCTGTGCGCTTTCATGGAGGTGGTGTGTGTCCTTGGGTAGAGAAAACAAGGCACGAATGTATAGGAAAGGTCAACTAAAGATCAATAAATAAGTACATGAATGAGGCAGATGTTAGATAGATTGACATGGAATCCAAACATTTCCATGTCACATGGTTGATTAAAACAAATAAGGTGCAACTTATTTCAAAGGTTAAATGGAAGCGTGGAAATCATGCATAATGTTTCCTATAAGATTTGCAAGGAAGGAAGCCCAGGGGAAGGCCCTCAGGAGGAAACCACAGGTGGAAGAACTCCAGGGCAGTGGGAGTGGCTCTGGGGAGACTTTGGTGATGACTGGAGGGGTTGGAATGAGATAATATAGAAAGACAAAAAGTGACGTAGAAGAGTCAGGAGTCACACTGATAATTAAATTTAAAAAGCAGATGAGGAGCAGGTAAAAACGTAACAGATGGGTCAGCTAAAGCATCAGGTAGGGGACAGCAGGGCCGAGGCCAGGTGCAGCAGAGGGAACCCCAGGCACAGAGTGTAAGGAGATCTCCCTCTGAGCACCTGGGCCTCAGGGTTCCTTCACTCTGTGTCCACAGTACCACCTCTGCCTCACCTAGTCCTGGGGTGTGTGTGTGTGTGTGTGTTTTTCTTATTTTTTAAAGAAAAAAGCATAGAGAAGAAGAGTAGACAAAGATACAAAGGATCGAGAAGTATCAAGAAATAGGACAAAAACATGGGGTGGGACATGAAGAGTCCTGTAGAAAACCAGTTAAAACGCAGTGGGTGGAAAACTGGTAGAGAGGGGCCGTGTCCAACAAGGGACAGAGGACAAATCAAGACACTGTTTGATCTGAGGATAAAAGGCACAAGTTGCCTCTGTCAATCCTGAGAAGGGTAAGGTGTCCTTTACCAAAATTCTCCTCCCCTCGGGAATCCTGCCTCTCCAAGGCACAGTCACCATGTAGATTCTCTTGATTCCTAAACACACATTTCCCACCCAGACCTGTTGTTTGTCTCATTTTTCAAAGTGTCTGAAAATCTTCAAAGATCTGAAGGATTTTTCTATTTTTGAGGTTGTCACCATTATCTATGGCAGTGTAATGTACAAACCACCCCAGACTTACTGGTGTAAAGCAACCATCACTGTATTTACCACTTCCTTCAATTCTGATTTTAAAATATCTCCAACGGTTCCTTTTCTCTGCACCCTCAGCACGATCATCCTGACCTCAATCCCTCTGGCTCTCAGAACTGGAGGAACAGTGTTTTTGCTTGGTTTGCTTTGTTTTGGGTTTGGTTTGGTTTGGTTTTGGTTTGGTTTGTTTTAGTTTTGGTTTGGTTTGGTTTTGTCTGTACAACCTTGCCCCCTCAAACGCATTGTCCGAACTTACACTAAAAATGGAACTTTCAAAAATGCAAACCAGTTCCCATGGCTCTCCTATTTAGAACCCAGTGCCTTCCTGTGGTCCTGAATTAGGTCAGTGCTGCCTGGTGTGACACATCCTGAAAGAGGACTGTGTGCTGCCTACCCCCATCACCTGCCTCTAACCCTCTAATGCCTTGCTCACCAAACTTTCTTCAGTTACTTGAATTTGCCAAGTTCTTTCTCTTATATGTCTGCCTTTACATGTGCTTTTAGAAAACAGTTTGGTGTCATCTGTTAAAGTTGGAAATATTTACTCTAGAATTCAGAACTGCATTTCTCAGAAGAAACTACCAGAAATGCATACTGTGTTCATCAGAAGACAATGTCCACAGCAGTATTCATAAAGCCAGACACTTGAAATAGCACAAAAGGAGAAACACATGTCAGCTTGTTTCTATGATGGAATACGATAGTGTGTGCAAAAAGAATAATTATACAAAATTATATAATAAATATAATTATACAAAAATGAATATGGATGATTCTCACAAATGTTATATAAATATATAACATGTATATATATATAAATATGCGCACACATACACATATTTATAGATGAATTTGGGGCTATTTGGCTTCTTCAGGGATATATATGAGAGAGTGAGTAAGAAGAACATGATTCTGTTTATATAAAATTAAATTACTTAAGAGGCAAAACTAATGGGAGTATTGGAAATCAGGAAGGCTGTTGACTTTGAGAAAGATAGTGGGGGCAATTAATGGGAGATGTCCTAGGAGGCTTCTGGGGTGTTGGCAATCTGTGTCTTGTCCAAAGAGACATACTTCGTAATCATTCAAAACCCACTTTTATATGTACTGCAATTATAATTTTTATTTTTTAAAAAGGCAAAAAAAAAAATGTTATATACAAAAAAAAATGGGGAAAAAATAGGTTAAAAACAAAACACCATCAAGAGAGGTACAAAGGGAGGGACAGAACTAAGCAGCAGGAAATAGAGGACGGGCATCTCAACAATGCAGTTTCAGAAAGAGATTGTTATCAATGGCATGTTTGTCAATGGGGGAGGAGAAGGAAAATTCTTTATTCATTACAATTTGGCCCAGGAGCAGAGCTCTCCAGCCATGGAATCCACATGACTTCCTGTTCTGTGCGTCTGGTGGATATAAAGAAGGAAAAGCCATTTTTTCCCACGCAAGTGAAGCAAGGATCTCAAACCAGGACCAACCATTACCAGCCATCCGAAGTAATAGGTAAGGCTGACTGAAAGGATCTGTGAACAGGTTCCCAGGTAAAGGGCTCCGCATGTCATGAAGGCCCACCAGGCAGTCCAGGTAGCCTCTGGAGCAGGCCAGCGCTGGGTAAGCTGAAGCAAGTTAGCTTAACAGAGGTCCTTAGGGTCTGGGAAAATACTGGCAGAAATAGTGGTAATAATGAGAACTGATGTCAGAGGAATTGTTTCTTTTTCATTTTCTTTTCTTTTCTTTTTGAGAACTAAAATCGCATTTGACATTTTTATTTTAAACTGCAAAAATAAAAACAAGCAAACAAACAACAAAAACTTGAAATAGGCTCATCGAATGTTATAAATTCATCCATTTTGGGAAAGCAGAAGGTAGACCCTACCACAAAGAAAAGATACTTAGTTAATGGAGGTTAAGTTTACAAGTACACTTCTCTCAGGTTAATAACCTTCTGAAAATTGTTTTATTCACCTCACTGTGATAAACAATAACCATATTATGAGTTAGACTTCCTTATAATTGACTATATCCCATTAATACTAATATTTATCGGGTTTGGTCTGACTGCAAATTCTTAACCATGTTAGTTACGGAGTTTTTTTCCCCTCAAATGATGAGTTATGTTAGTAAAAAAAAAATCACTGCATTTCTATAACAAATAAATGAAAAGCACAACTATGCAAGCAGACTTAAACTCACTCTACTACCAATTGAAAACTACTTTTGTTCTTCAAAAAAAAAATTAGCAAACAAAAAACATTTAGTTTGGGGGCTGGGGTCGTGGCTCAGTGGTAGAGCACTCTCCTAACATGTGTGAGACACTGGGTTCGACCCTCAATACTACATAAATAAATAAGTAAAATAAAGGTATTAAAAAACATTGGTTTAATTTAACAGTTGTTAATTTTTATAGTTGTATTCCAATAACTACATGATGTAAATGTTCCAGAAGAATCAAACTGCAGCAATGAATGAACATGCATGAGAGAATTTGTGCATTCAACAGATATGGCAGAAAAGCTATAGTTAAAATGCTAAGGAGAACAAATCTGTCTTGAAAATATCAATTCCTCTCTTTAAAAAAAAAAAATACTGAGTCTACCAAGAAAATACAAAATCCTCAAGGCCACGTACGTCCTGCCTCATTGTTGCTTGAATTCTGCTGGATTTTGATCCTTCAAGTCATAGTTTGGATCATTTTCTTCATTTCCTTCCTCTTCCCTTCCCTATATTAAATTTCAAAATGCATCCATGAAGTAGGTTCATGGTAGGAAAAATTGGCTCATAATGTAGGGAAAATTTAATACAATTTACTCTATGGGTCAACAGATTTCCATGATTAGAGAGTTTAGTAATAATACAATTTAATTTGAACACTTCTATTAAGAAAAATTTCCCAACCATCCAGACAGCTTTTATCAAAAAGATTTATTGCAGCCAACGTTGAAAAAGCTTACTGTAGCTCTTGACTTCAACAGAGAACTGATAACTCTCATCTGCTTCTTCACCTTCTCCTCCTCCTCCTCCTCCTCCTTCTTCTTCAATAGCTTCTCCAGTGAAGCAGAACACTGATCTTGGGATTATACGCTCACATAAAAAGTGACCAGTTTCAAAGTCTGCAGCAAGAATAGCTTCGACATCATCATCCAGCTCTCCACTGTCAGGAACTTCAGGAGGGGCAAAAAAAGTAAAGAAAGAATCACTATTTTAGTCACACTACGAACTGTCCCATGTCCTTATGTTTCTGCTTCTTAATAGTTTTCAGAGTGACATTCTGTCCTTTTTATTCCCATCTATCCAGAACCCTGTACGACCCATAACTTCTGGACCATCAAAAAAAAGGGATCAGAATTGTCTGACTCTGGCCTCATCCTAGATGTCTTTGTGAACACTTGTGAAATATTCATTGGGTTCAAAGTGAAATTCTAAGATAAAACTCATAGGCTGGCCGGCTTCTGAGAACTTCACTTTAATGTCTTTCAAGTGTTTCAGAATAGGTTCATCAGCTGCCTGAACCAGGTCACTGAGCAAGTCAGCATTCTTAAAAAAAAAACAGTGAAACAAAATTCAGGAATTCCTTTAGGGTCTTCTTTTTCTCATCTTTTTTCTCGTCGTCTATCTTGGCCTTTTCTTTCAGCTCCTCTGAAATTTCCTCTTCTTCATCTGGTTTCCATTCCCATTCTTCTTCTGGAGGTTCATAAATTCCATTAATGATCTCAAATCACTTAGCAAATAGAGGCTGACAGAGAACAGCATCTTCCCTTCAAGATCATGAACTTCCTCATGGAATTTGGCTTCCATCTGCGCACATTTAACTTGAGGGTCTGAGAGGATTCACTCCTCTCTTAACCACCCTAGGCCACCTTTCAATGTACCCCGTTGGCGTTTCTACTTGACCCTCGAGTCTTTCTTGAATCTGAGGATTTTGTATCATCTGAACCAAGTCAGCTGATGCACTTTGATTTTTGTTTCTTCTCCAGTTTCTTCTACTTCTTCAACATCATCCAAATCTTGATCAAGTTCAGAGTGTTCTTTGTTGTCAGTGTCTGCCATGTTGGAGGGACTTCAAATGGGCAGCTAGTCTGGGGAGCCGGGCACTGCCCAGGCAATACCTGGGGAGGCAGCAGAGACATGGAGCTGTGGGCAGTGCCGAGAGCAGAGGCACTCCCTTCCTGAAGAAAGAGGAAAAGGAAAGCAGTAGGAATTAAAGAAAAGGGGGAAAATGGGGAACCAGGATATTCTCAAGAGGAGATGGAGAAAGAACAGATCAAGACAAAGAGTTACAAAGAGGAGCCATTGCCAGAAACAGAGGCAGAAGCTGGGGTGGTGGCCAGAGCTCAGAGGAAAGGGAAGAGGTGGAGCAGAGGTGGAGGTCAGGGGGTCCGTGGGCTGGGAAAAGCTGCCTCATGTGTCAGTTTTGTCGTTTGTGTTAGCCCTGGAATAGCCCCCAAGCCACACACATGCAGAGAGCCCCACGTTACCCTAGTTCCCAGGTCTTCCTTGTGCTCTTGTTGTGGGGCGCCTGGCTGTGTGGGCTCCTGCTGGGCTCCCTGAGACTCTGAAGGGATTTTGGTCCTTTGTGCAGTCATCAGCAGTGAGGACGACGCCAGCGACACAGAAGAGCCTGCAGCAATCTCTAACTCAGCACCGAGGAGCCATCCTGGTAAGGAAGGCTGGGACAGCAGGCTGGGACAGTGGGCTGGGAGAGCAGGCTGGGACAGCGGGCTGGGACAGCAGGCTGGGACAGTGGGCTGGGAAAGCAGGCTGGGCTGCAGGAATTGGAGCTACTGTTCTCTGATGTCCTTTATTCTGAACCTATTCTATATGATGGCTCCAGTTTATCCTGAGACTCCCAAGTCTGCATTGATTTGACCCTTTGGGGGAATGTGTGGACCCAGAAATCATCATGTATTTATTTTTGATGATTGAAATTGTGAATAGATGGATTCTATTTATCAATATAAATTTATGCATTGATTATATAGTAGAAATAGGCTAGCAAAGTAACGATTTTGTTTAGAAACTAATTACTATGAACACAAAGTTTTAGACTTATCCAGTGATTTCTATACAGAACAGAAAGCTAAATATTCCTTTATTAGAAGTTTATGCTGCCATTAAATATTCCTTTATTAAAAGTTTATATTGTCATCTGACCACAAACAAAATACAGTTCAGTCAACTATCTAATGTTAGCAGAAATAAAGACTTGAGATGATTTATTATGAAACCCAAAGAGTTGTTTTTGACAAAATTCTGCAGCAAGCCATGGCATTTGTAGTGATTTTTCAAGAGAACTTTGCAAATAATATACTTATTTTTTTCCTCTACAACAACTTTAAAGGGTAAGCAGGATAGGCACTGTCATCTTTGTTTCTCAGAAGAGACAACACAATCCTAGAAATGTGCTAAGTTCTTCTCCAGAGTCTCATGGGGAATTAAAGGAAAGACAAGACTAGGATCCTGGATTTGGAATTATGTCCTTATAAAATGCAAGATTAATATGATTATCGAGATGTTGTATTATCTCAGTCATACCTGCGGTATGAGTTTTAAGATGTAAAAATCTGTAGTGGCCAAGTATAGTAGTGCACACCTGTAGTTCCAACTGGAGTTTGAAGCCAGCCTCTACAACTTAGTGAGGCCCTATCTCAAAATAAAAATTTTAAAAAGACCTGGGATGTAGCTCAGTATCCTGGGTTCAATCCTCAGTACAAAAAAAAAAACAAAACAAACAAACAAAAAAAAAAACCTCTGTAGCGCACAAATTGGTAATTTGTTTTCCTTTTAAATTTTCTAGATCCAGAGTATTTTGGAAACATGCCTCTTTAGGGAAACCATACTGGAAAAAGGGCAAATTAAAATTTTTCCTGGTCTTGAGGTCACAAAAGAACAATATTTTAAATCATATGTTCTTTCCAATTGCTCCCAATAGCTTCTAAAGAAAAATGTGAATTTGCTTCAGCAAACTGTACATCTCTGACTCTTATCCTGGTGTGGACAAACTGCTCCAAAGAGTAGTTCCCAGATATGTCTAGGACTCACACCCAAGAGAGTGTTATTTCTCGATCTTGTAAATGGGGCGTGGGGGACAAGGAGCCTTGTCATCCTCAACGTAAGATATTCAAGGCCTCCCTCCACGGAGATCAGGCAGAGAAGACGGAAACACGGAATGGCCAGCAGAGGGGAAAAGTAAAAGGGAGAGGTGTAGGAAGAAAGGCCAAGCCATGCAAAGACGCCCCTTGCCAGGGAAGTGTTTGTGTCACCGAGGATAAGTATGGCGAGTCACTAACCTACATGGCAGGTAATCAGAAAAGCACATCACCGTGGCCTTACCTTTTTTCCTAAGGTTTTTCTAAGTTTTCTTATTAGGGAATTTTCTACTGAGTTGATTCCTTGGTCACAACAGAGGCTCCTAAAGAATTCTGTTCTTTTGTGCAGTGATCAAAAACCATGTCCAGTTTGACTTGAGAGATGAAGAAGAGGCCCAAGAAGCCACTTGCTCATGGCACCAGGCTGCTCCAGGTAAAATTAGATGGCAACTCCAGGAATACAGAATGGCAGAGTCCACAGCTGTTTTCCTGATTAATTTTATTCTGAGCATTCTTCATATGCCCTGATTCTGTAGCTTCTAGGATATCTTTTTCTGCAATCTGGTCCTAATGGGAAATCGAAGGTGTTAAGAAAGCATTTTAGACTGTTGTTTAACTGAAAAAAAAAACTTAATTGACTGCTACAATGAAAACATTGAAAAAATGTGTTTATAAAATGAGTCTTTTTGACTGCATATCATTACACCTATTACTGATAAAGAGTTGAAATAATATACTTATTCTCCACCCACCCTTTTTATTTTATAGGATATAGTAAGAAAAGTGTTCTTCTTTTCATTAATATTGTCATTTGTCTCAAGCTTATAAAGTTTTAGAGGGGGAAAGAGGCATGATCCTATTCTCGGTGGTTGTCAGAGAAATAGCCAAATAGAAGATTCCCCTTCTTCAATACCAGACTTCCATGATTGTCCTGAAAGAGAAGCAAAGCTAGGATCAATACAGATGCAGACATAAAGCCAACAATAAATCCATAAAGGACAAGTAAAAGAAGAAAGAGAATGCAGTGGAGGAAGACAGGGGCCAAGGCAAAGCAAGATGCCCAGTGAGGGTGAAATTTTCTTAGCGTCAGGCTAGGTGATGGTGAGTCACATGAATTTGAAAGGCAGACCATGGAAGTCTGAGGGGAGGAATATTCTTGCCCTGGAATTTCAGAGCTCTCCAAGTTGTTCCTAGTGTCCTCTCTATAGAATTCCTCTGTCTTGGTTCCCTTGGCATACACTAAGACCTCCAAGGGATATTTGCTCCTTTCTGCAGCGAGAGGACATGACTATGGCTCTTCAGAATCCAGTGAGGAGGAGATACCCTCAGCACTCCGGATCTCAACACCAACAGGTGAGCTTGATGCCAAGGGCAAGTTCTGCCACTTGGGCTCCAGGACATCCAGGGCACGATGCAGAGCCCCTGTTCCCAGGTGCATTATACTTTGAGCACACACCACAGCATGATTAGGCAGTCCAGGGATCCCAGATTCATTGATAAATTATTTAGCTGCAAACCTATGGGGAAAAATTATCAGTTTCTAAACTCTTTGATTTTGCAGTTAGAGCTAAAAGATGTGTGTCTCTGCCCCATTTGGTAGGGAACTCTCCTCTTTAGAGAGACAGAAATAATCATTATAGCATCTTTGAAGTCCAAATCCTGTCTCAGTAGACACTGGTCACTGGTTTTGCTTTCCTTTCCTTTCTAGATTCTGTGAGGATGTCTACTTGGAGGATACACAGTCAGAAAAGAAGTAAGAGCAATTAAAAACTCTTGGTGTAACAAACAGTTTTCCTTGCCACAAAAGCCTCATTTGGTTTTTATATCCTTTAAAATCAAAATACAATTTTTGAGATTTTAGATGATTCACACGATATTACTATAATTAGTGAGTCAGAGTAATCGGTATAACCCAGAGGCCTCGAGTGTGCAGTGGCACCAGCACAAGGTCATTCCTCACTCACTGAGATCAGGTGGTTCCCAGATGGAGTGCTCACCCGCCTCACAGGGTCATGGGCCCAGCTGATGGAGGTGCTGATGTCTCTTAAAGGTTGTGTCCAATGCCCCCAGTAAGAAACGCAGGTGGAAGCTGACATCTGTGCCAACAAGGGGAAGGGGTCAGAAGTGTTAGAGATGGGGACAGAAGGGGCTGCTTTCCCTGGCAGAGCTGGCCCCGGCTCCAGCCCCAGCCTTGGGGATGGTTCCTGGAGCAACCTTGTCCAGCGGTCAGATGGAGCCAAAGGGTGGCCTGGTGGCAGGAATATCCCCTCCTCTTACTCAAGCTTCCCTTTGCAGTCCTCCTTTTAAAGACTGGATGGGATGCTCAGGCACAGGCGAGGACTGACTCGGAACTTCCTTCCTTTCTGTAGGGCACAGCAGTGACAGCTCTTCAGAGCTGAGTTATGGAGAGGAGCCTCGGGAAGCCCTGAGAAGTGGATCAGGTAAAGAAGATTAGACGCCGCGCCTTGGCCTGCAGGATGTCAGGACTCTGCACTAAAAGCCACTGAGTCCAGATGCCTTTTATTTTGAACAACTTGACTGACTTGCGTCCAGTTATCCTGGAAACTTCTTTTCAATACTTTAGAAAATGGAAGGAGGCAGGAAATCATTACAAACTCACATTGAACAGCATGAGTCCTGTCAACTAAATGTATGTAAATATATTTTGCTGTCGCAGGAGAAATAAATAGCAAAGCAATGGTATCTGTCACGCCTACTCACACAAAGTCTCTAGATTTCTAGCCCCACACTGGTCATTTGTCATTTGCAACTGTAGAAGCCTAAGAAGACAACTGGTCCTGCTGTGTAATTATAGTCAGAAATAAAAGCTTCAGATCAATCACTCTCAAAGTTTAGTATAGTTTTTGACAGATGTCCTTCACCATAGAATTGGATTATATTGTATTATTTCCATGTACTTTGACAAACAAGATCTGTTTTTATCATCACAAAAGCCTTAAGACTTGGACAGGTAAACCCTTGCTATCCCCATTTGGGACAATAGAATAGATGTACAAAATGTGTAAGAGTCAAAAACTCAAGTAACAATAGGAACCGTGATGTCTTACAGTGAGTGACTACTGTATGTAATGGGCAGAAAAAAAAGACCTGTGTTACATAATCAGAGTCTGAAAAGTTAGTATAAGGAACTCGTAATATTCACAGGGAAATGTGTCAGTAGCTGATGAAAGAAAGAAAACATTTACCAACAACAACAAATAAAAATATAATATGTAAAGTATATATTATATTTTATAATATATGGTCTATGGTATATATGTATACTATGTGTGCTGTATATGCACATACTCATTTACACATTAGCATATACACGTTTTCGCATGTGTGTATACATAGGTTGAGATACATACATATCCATGGAGAGTAAGAAATGAAAATCACAGATAGACAATAAGGACAGGAATAGAGCCTGATATTTTAAAAACAAAACAACTAGAAGGATCCATCCAGAAAGGATTAATAGAGAAATAAAGGGGAATAGAGATTCAGGGCAACACTGAGAAGAGACAGTGCAACATGGGAGGCCAGCAAAATCAGAGACAGAGGCTCACAGGAAGGAACAGAGGAAGGACCTTGGGCAGGAAATAAGGAAGAGGAGAATGAAGTGTGGCCAGACAGAAGAGAGGCTGCAGCTCTGTTGGACCTCAAGTGCAATCATGGGGTGGGTGTATTTTTTTCTCAGCTCGTCTGAATGCTAGACGTGGTTCCCTGTGACCACACTGAAGTTCGTTCGCTGGTCACACTTGTACTCGATCATTTCCTTATTTCTCTTCAGTGTCTTGGGGATCCAGAGGTCTTCAAATGAATAGTGGTAGAGTCAGAAGGGACATACGTGATTGGAGAAGCCAATTATGATATCATCAATTATCTTTGTTTACCTGCCTACACGGGGCGGGGGGAGCCATTCTTTTCCTCCTAAACACATGTGCACATGCACACACACACACACACACACACACACACACATGCGCACATACGCATGCAGACTTGTGCACAGACTCAGTGTTTTCCACAGGTCTGAGAGGACCAAGAGAAAAAGAAGAGCTGGCTCTTGGATGAAGGGAGGTGACTCTGAATGAAAACTGTTAAGAGAAAACAGTGGAAAAGGGAATCTTGGTGACCAGATGGAAAGAGACTGAATAAGTTTCAAGGTCTTCTAAGTGGATGTGGATCCAAGGATCCCAGATTGGGGAGTTTGAGGGAGAAAAGGGATGACTTGCAAGATACCTCTCAGGAGCTAACCAGAAACGTGGAAATAAAAGTTGGTGATTGATTGAAAGCCCTGCAACATAGCGATCTCATGTGCAACTGGCAAGGGAATAGGCTGGGTGATTGGTCAGTGTCAAAGGACTGGCATTTGATGAGGATAAAAGTAGTGTCTGTGAGATGAAAATGAACCTAGAAGAAGGAAATATAGATAGGCAAAGGTTGACATTGCAAAAACAGTTCACAGATCTAGATAAAAATGCTAAAATATCAAGATAAGATGGCCAGAACCAAAGCCAGAGTCAAATAGAGAACAAAAAGGGAAGTGAATATGGAAAAGGGTCACTTCAATAACAAAACGAGATCCAGAGACATGAGCCCAGAAAAGCAGGTGGAATGAGATGGGTAGAGGATGATTCCTTCAGGAAGAGCAGGGACCATGGGGCACGATGGAGAGGAAGCTGTAAGAGGTGAGAGAAAAATGGCGGTGGGGCCGCCTGAAGAGGAAGAGTGACAGAAATCATGGGATCCAGGGTGAACATGAGACAAAAGCAACCTGACCCAAGGCATGGTTCACAGTAGCAGTGAGTCTTCAGGGTAAGGTGTCCCCGGAGATCTAGGTGGCCCTGATTACTCGCCCAGAATAATAAGGAGACTTGCCTCAGGCGTTGCACCCACCCCCTGGTTTCTCTAGCCAGCCCAGTCTTCCCACCTGAGTTTGAGAACGTCTTCTGTCCAAGGTTCTGAAGACTCCAGTCTTCCCTTGGACGTCAAGACCTTCACGCTCCAAACTCCAAGTTTCCCAAAACTGAACCCATCATCTTTTGCCCTAAAACCAGACTCTCCTCCTTCAGTGTTTTCTATCTCTAAAACACACTAGTGATTAATCTCTTCATTCAAGAAGAAATTCTTGGATCACCTAAAAAAGAGAGGTGTATTTTATACATATATATATTATACATATATATGTACACACACATATGCACACCTTTATGCACTAAGGAATAACAAAAGAGAGGTTTCAAAGGTAAAGCCATCCTTTGATGTAGGAGTGGGAGGGAGAAGTCACCAGTGTTAGGGGAAAAGAAAACTTGGGCAGGGGAAGGAACATGGATGAAAATTACTTTACTAATCATGATTTAGGAACAGGGCAACAAGAGACTGGAAATGAGAAGTGCTCCTGTGTCCTGTGTTCCCCAAAAGGTGTGCCAAGAGGCCAAGAAGCAACGGTGGAAAGTGGCCGAGCATCTCACCCAATAGGCAAGTCTGCTCAAGGGCATCAGGGTGGAGGTGGCTCAGAAATACCACAGCTGCTGGGCAGTACTATGTCAGGAGAGGAAGCTGTAAAAGGTGAGAGAAAAATGGCGGTGGGGCCACATGAAGAGGAAAAGAGACAGAAATCATGGGATCCAGGGTGAACAAGGTGATCAAGTTCAAGGAGAACATTGGGAAGACTCTAGCTCACTGACAGGAGGTGGGCCCCGGGCCCCAGGCTGCAGGAATCCAGAATAAGAGTTTCCATTTTCTGTAGCACTTACTGAGTACACAGTGACAAGGAACAGGTCCAGCCATGCCAGAATCCTGTTCTCTACATCTGCATGACCTGACCCTTTGGGAACTGCAGAAAGGCAAGAGAGCGTTAGATACACGTGTTTAACAGGATGAGCTCTGTTGGTTACATGTGGTTCGTGTAAAACAAATACGTTGGTAAAAAACAGCAGTGTCCTGTTTATTATCAATACTGAAGCATCCGATTTATATGGCTTCCATCCTTACCTATAGAACCAAGGAAACAATGTGCTTCTGTTGGTAGATCTGAGAGATGGTAGAATAGCTTTTCCACAGCCTTGGGAAAGCCTAAAAGGACAAATGGCCCTGTTACCTGTTAGGAAAAAGACCTCACATAACTATTCTTAAACTAAAAATATATAGTTCCAATAGCTGTCTTCCAACATGTTATTGATTTATATAGTGATTTTCTATTAACTCACCAATGAGATCATCTAATCTTCATAAAAAAACTTAAAATTTGAGCAGGATTACCCTTGCTATCTCTGTTTCATGGATCCCTGTTTCCTTAAACAGGCACACAGAGTAATCAAGAGCTTTCTCCAAGTGTCAGGGAACTAAAGGAAGGCCTTACATCTTCCCTACCAGTCCATTCCCTTAGAATGAAGATAGAGAAATGAAGCCCATCACATCAGTATGATCTTTAGTCTTCCACACACTGAATTGTCATATATTTTTAACTTTTATTTATAAACCACAGTTCTCTGACCCCCATCTTCACTTTCTAGATACCACGGATGTTGGAAACAATTCTACTTTGGGAAAAGGCAGTGGGGAAAGAAGTAAGAACAAATAAGTATTTGCTTGATTTTTATGTTACTAATGAACTATTTTTTAATGCTAAGGTTTATTATCATCATTTTTATACCTTTCATAAGACAAAAATGCCTTTGAAAGTAACAATGTATTTTTCAAAAGGTTCATATCTTCATGTTTTTATTCTGAATTTTAAATGTTTCTATTCTGAATTTTAAATGTTTCTTGTAAATATCAATGTATAGATTTGAGAATATTTCTATGCATGTATAAATATGTTTTGAAATATTTTATTTATTTAAATAATATAATTCTACATATTCTTTCCTTTTATTGCTTTTTAAACTAAAATATCATAGATAATAAACAGATTAGTATCTTTAATTGAACTATGAAAATAATATTATAGGGCTACTTTAACATGACTTTTCCCACTTTTAGTATGGCAGGAATTCTTCAATTGCTCTTTTTTTAATTTATTTTTTTAATTTGTTCTGATTAGTTATACATGACAGCACAATGCATTTTGACACATCGTACACAAATGGAGCACACCTTCTCATTCCTCTGGCTATACACAATGCAGAGTCATACCATTCGTACAATCACACATGCACATGGAATAATAATGCCGGTCTCATTCCACTACCCCTATACCCTCCATTCACTCCCTTCTGCCCAGTCCAAAGTTCCTTCATTCTTCCCTAGCTCCCCCACCACACACATACACACCATTATGGGTCAGCATCCTCATATCAGAGGAAACATTTGGCTGTTGGGCTTTGAGGATTGGCTTATTTCACTTAGCATGATATTCTCCAGCTCCAACCATTAACCTGAAAATACCATCATTTCATTTTTCTTTATAGCTGAGTAATATTCCATTGAGTATATATACCACATTTTCTTTATCCATTCAGATGTTGGGGGCACTAGATTAGTTCAATAGCTTAGCTATTGTGAATTGAACTGCTATAAATGTTGATGTGGCTGCATCATTATAGTATGCTGATTTTAAGTCCTTTGGGTATATACTGAGGTGTGGGATAACAGGGTTAAATGATGGTTCCATTTCAAGTTTTCTGGGGAATCTCCATACTGCTTTCCAGATTGGTTGCACCAATTTGCAGTCCCACCAGCAATGTATGAGTGTACCTTTTTCCCCACATCCTCACCAACACTTATGTTGCTTATATTCTTGATAATTGCCATTCTGACTGGAATGAGATGAAATCAGAGTAGTTTTGATTTGCCTTTCTCTAATTGCTAGAGATGTTGAACATTTTTTCATAATTTGTTAAACATTTGTATTTTTCTTCTGTGAAGTGCCTATTCAGTTCCTTAGCCCACTTATAGATTGGGTTATTTATATTTATTGGGGGTTTTTTTTGGTGTTTTTTGAGTTCTTTATATATCCTGGAGGTTAATGCTCTATCTGAGGTGTGTGGGGTAAATATTTTCTCCCATTCTGTAGGCTCTCTCTTCACATTATTGATTATTGCCTTTGCTGAGAAGAATCTTTTTAGTTTGAATTCATCCCATTAAATAAGAGACCCAGAATAGTCAAAGCAATCCTTAGCAAGAAAAGCGAAGCAGAAGGCTTCACAATACTAGACCTTAAACTATACTACAGAGCTATATTAACAAAAACAACATGTTATTGGCACCGAAAAAGACATGTAGACCAATAATGCAGAATAGAAGACACAGAGACAAACCCACATGAATACAGTTATCTCACACTAGACAAAGGCACCAAAAACATACATTGGAGAAAAGATAGCCTCTTCAACAAATGTTTCTGGGAAAACTGGAAATCCATATGTAGCAAAATGAAATTAAACCCATATCTCTCACCTTGCCCAAAACTCAACTCAAAGTGGATCAAAGACTTAGGCACTAGAACAAAGACCCTGTGCCGAATAGAAGAAAAAGTGAGACCAAATCTTTATCATGTTGACTTAGGACCTGACTTCCTTAACAAGACTTGATTTGCTCTTGATCACTTGTTTTTCTTCTTCCCAGATCTCTTTGCTATAGATGCTGCTTGTTTGCTTCCTCACACTGCTGAATGACCATGGATACCCTCCTATGTCATAGACACTAAATCTTTGTCATGTGTATTGCTAATAGTTTGTACAAGTGGTTGTTTTTCTTTTAGGTTTGTTAATGGAATCTTTTATGCTAGAGGAGTTTAAGAATTTGGTAGTCAAATTTGTCATCCTTTTTTTCACTGGTTTCTGAGTTTCATATAATATTTACAATAGCCATTTCTACATCAAAATTTCAAAAATATTGTTCTATATTTGTCAAACACTTGATCATTTTTAGTCTTATCTATAATCCACATGGGATCTATGCATCTCTTTGTGTACATGTAAGCTGGGAATTTTAAAAATACTCCCTACACTATTGCATTGTGATCTAAATTGCCACTTAGATCACACAGTGCCTTTCCCTATTCCTATATTAGTTTTTCTTTTATGACAGAAGGCACTACAAAAGAGAAAGTGGAAGTCAGAATCATCCTGATGACTTACTGGGGGGATAAGTTTTAGAATAACTTCAAGATTTCCCCCCCTACCCCTTCACAAATCCAACAGAATCTCTAATTAGAAATGCATTGACCTCATAAATGCAGGTTAATTTGGGAATAATACAGACTTTTACCCATTTATTCATTTTTACTTAATATTCTTCCAATAAGAAGTTTCTTAAAATAGCTCCTGCACTTTTAAAAGAGTTGTATATATTATATAAATATGTGTTACCATGAACATAGTTTTTCCATCTATATAATAACCCAATGAATTTAAATGAGACAAGACTCTCAAAATCTTAATTTAAATAGAAAATCCATAGTCATTTTATTACTTATTTACACGTGAGGGAATCAGAAAGTCGCTGACTTGATATAAAATCTTACAACATTTATGCAGTTTCAGGATCCAGATGTAACTTAAAATATTATGGTTCTAAACTATCAAGTAGCATGATGAATCAGAACTACAGCCTCCTTTGGAAATTGGTTTCATCAGAAATGTCAATAATCCTAACTTGGAAGAACATCACTAGAAACACTCTACTCTTACAACTCTTCCAATGATAAATTTATATTAACAGAGGACAGAATGAATTGATAATAATTACAAATAGACACGTGTTCCTATATTTTACCAGAGAATAAGACTCTTACAAAACTTCTCACTTTAACCCTTCAGATCATATCTATTAGTTTTGTGGTGAAGATATTCTCTCTCCTTCTACAACTGTGTTGAGAGAATTTTCTTTCATCTCTTTCTGGAATTGTTTTTCTTTGTTACATGGATTTAAAAACCCAATCTCTGGAAACTTGTTAGTCTTATAAGAAAAGCAAATATGTGGAGCTTAATTTTATTGGCAGAAATAGAGAAAGGCCTGAAAAGAATTTCACCTAAAAATAGGAAATAAGGATGTATACAGATTTTTCTACTATGGCCTATAATTCTTGTTGCTTCAATCTGAGCCGGCTGAGACCTCTTATTTTTTTTATTTTTACCTTTCCTTTCTTGTCTTCACCTAAATACAAAATGTGAACAACTATTTCAATATTTAAGTGGGAGGATGGTTATTATTTTTTAATAATGTATCATATAATATTTTATAATCATTATTTTGTATTTATAGGCTAATAATCATCCCTGGCATCATTAAAATGCTTTCTACACTCTTTCTTTTTTCAAAATGCAGTTTCCACTTACAAGACCTCATCCTGTGGGCCTCACCACACCCCCCTTTTTATTGACCTACTTACCCACTTCTCATCCTTGGCCCTTCCTCAACTGTTCTTTCCAGGCAAATCAGACCACATCTGTATCAAAGATTACCGAATCTCAGTTTCCCTTCAAGGTACCTGTTTTGGGTGAGGATATACAAAATGGTCTTTGTAATTGCCCGCTGTTACTGGAATAAGATAGATAATTTGGTGAAAATGAAGGAAGAGCCAACTTGGGAGGACCAGGGCACCCCCCAAACAAGTGTGCAAGGCTTCAGCAGAGAGGCCAAGACTTCAAAAACCTTTACTCAAGTTTATGGTCACACTGAAGACTGGTTAGCATCTCATTGGTGACAGATGAAGTCGCCATAGCTCAGCCTGCAGGACATGGCAGGCAAGTCACAGTGACCCTCACTTCCACAGATAAGGTAGTCAACTCAGAGCCTACAATGGTTTTCCTAAGGGAATGATCTGGGCTTCTTGACCAATGAAGGACAGAATCTATGAATGACTCTAACTTCCTTCAAATATCTGCTCAAAAGTTAACTTACTAGAGATTCGTCCCAAGTCCTCTATATTAAATTAGTGCACGCACGCGCGCGCACACACACACACACACACACACACACAGCCCCATCCACCGCTCTCTGATCCCTTCATTCTGATTTACTTTTCATTATAGTACTCTGTCATCTTATGTATTTATTTTTCATTATTTGTCTCCCCACCAGACTGTAAACTCCATGTAGCAAGGACTTTATGTTATTCACAACTTTATCCTCAGCTCCTGGGGTTAATTAGCTATAAGGGCTCAATAAATAGTTATCGAATGATATATTTTCATGAATAAGTTAATTCTACCAGTGTGTGAAAGTTTAATCCAAATATATGATTGTACAAAATACACAGTTAAAACAAACAAACATATGAAAAGATGTATCAGAAATGTCAGGAAACTACCCGTGAGAAGAGTGGTGATTTTTCACCATCATTGTCTATTTCTCTAGTGTTATCTATTTCTACATCATCATCTATGCTCTCTGTCACAGATATGCTGCAATCTAATGTGGGTTCTCTGCAGACCTCATTGTGGGGTGAGGCTGCTTCTAGACTACATATTCTCAGTGGGCTTCTTCCGAGGACAAATGTACAAATGGCCATAGATGAGTGACCCTACTGACCTCACAGGTGAGGCAGAAGGAAGGCAGCAGGTGTGAAGGTAATAGTGGAAGGGGAGAGAGACCCCTTCCCAGGAGCCTGGGGCCTCAGGAAGCTAGTTCTCCAGACTAGAGGATGGAGCTGGTGTGGCTTATCTGAGGGTGGCCGGCGGTGGTCACCTGATCATGTTCTTAAAGGTTGGGGTTGTTGGCTGCCTTTTGCCTTCTAGCACCCAGCAGGCCTTGGCACCACCATGATCAGGTGGGTGACGGGGAGAACACAGCCCCTTCAAGTCATGTGGATTAAAATGCAATCTCTTCTTTTGTCTTCTGGGACCCACGATCTCTTACTGTCTAATAGTGCCTCCCCAGTCACTTGCTGGCTGTTGATGATGGTGTTGAATGGTAGTACTGGTGGTGGGCCTTCTGAACTTGCTGACGTCTACATGATGGAAAGACCTGGGTCCCTTCCCATCTCTACAGTACTCTCTCCATTCTAACCATGCTGTTCTTTAAATTTCGTGTTAATGACTACCAATTATATATCTCCTCCTCTTTCTTTTGAACTGCCAAATCATAAACTCAACTTCCTACTCCAAATAGCCACTTGGATTTTAATAGGTGTCTCTCTCAAATTTCATGTGCTAAACAGACTTCATGGTTTGTACTTGCAACCCTATCACCCACACCAGTCACCCTCATCTCAGTAAGTGGTATATATCTTCAGTTGCTTGAGCCAAAAAAATGTAGGGCACGTACTGATTTCTGCCTTTTCCTAACCCTCCACATTCAATCCGTCAAGTTTCAAAAGTATATTTCACATTTCTTCACTCTTTATCTCCCCTGCCCCTCCCCCAGTTTAAGTCCTATTATCTTGCATGGGGTAAACCAGAGCCCTCCCCACCAGTCACCCCACTTCCCTTCTTGCCCATTTATAATTCATTCTCTACTCAACAGCCTGCCACCCAACTGCTTATACTCTTTCAGTGGTTTCCAGTTGAATCAAGAGAAAAAGTCTAAATGTCTTTCTATTCCTTCAAAGCTCTACATAAGCTGCCCCCGGATCACCTTTTAAATCTTATCTCTGTCACACTCCCCACCTCAGTTACTACTCTGGCCGTCCTTGAATACACCAAGCAATTTTCTGCCTCAAAGCCTTCCCTGGGGCAGAAGGCTCCTTATTCATGTTTCAGCTCAAGAATCTCCTCTTCAGAGAGATGTTTTCTTAGAAACTCCCCCAGCCTATTTCCATCTCCCTTTTATCTCTTTCCCCTGATTGATCGTGCTTTTGATGTACAAAAGATACTTTCTTTGTGTTACCTGTCTACATTATCCTGTATGATCATGCTTTTCAGTCTTGTTTAAGGAATCATGGCCTAATCCTGGAGCATCCCAGAGTTTTTCTGCTCTCCTACTTTGCTGGGCATCTTGACCAATACAGTCAGACCCAAGATGGACAGTGTGGAGGCCACTCTTCGCTCTTCTTCTTGCATGCTAGGCAAACGCTGTACCACTGAGCTGCTTCTCCAGCTCCTCTGACAGCCACGATTACAGTTCTTCAGAGGGTTCCCAGTAAGACGGAGGACGAGTTGGACACCAATTGGCTTTCCTTCTTCCCATTCCCACTTCCTAGTTCCTCACTCCTGCTCCTTGGGATTGCTTCAAGAGTAAGCTTACTGAATAAGATCTGCTTTTGAGAATACTAGACTGCGACATCCTTATTTATTTTCTCACTTACATATTTAGTCCTTTTGGAGTTGATTTCTTTTCAGTGTGACGTTAGGTGGGGGTCTAATTTTTTTCCCAGTATGGCAACCAATTGTCCCAGTTTATTCAAAGATATTGCAATATCACACATGGCCTGCATCAAGCCACACACACACACACACACACACACACACACATGGCTGGGCTGGGGTTGTAGCTCAGTGGTAGTATACATATACACAGAGACAGGTAGGTGGATAGACAGACAGATTTGTTTCTGGGCTTTCTAGACTGATCCATTGCTCTCTCTATTCTGTATTAGTACATATCATACTCTATTAAAGTACTCTAATTGCATAATATCTTAATATTCTCCCAATGGTTTTCTTTCTCAAAATTATTTAGGCTCTTATGTCCATTTTTCCCTTCATCATGATTTTTGTTGTTGTTGTTATGGGTCGTTTAACTGCTGAGCCACATCCCCACCCCATTTTTGTATTTTATTTAGAGACAGGGTTTCACTGAGTTGCTTAGTGCCTTGCTAAGTTGCTGAGGTTGGCTTTGAACTCTCAATCCTCCTGTCTCAGCCTCCAGAGCCACTGGTATTACAGGCATGTGCCACCTTTCTTCATGAATTTTAGTCATTTTGCCAACCCTTTAACACCCTGTTTTATTTTTATCAAAATTGCATAGAATGGAGAACTGACATGTCTAAAATATTGAGTCTTTCTGCTCATGAACTCAAGTGGTCTCACTATTGTTTCCTTTTCACATCCTTCATTTATATGTTCAACAGATATTTCCAAGCTGCACAACAGAGATAAAGAAATGAACAAAATCTCATCAACCTTACATCCTACTGTGGGTATGTATAAAATACACAAATAAATATATCATATTTTATTTTTATTTTATGTTTTTGCAGTTCTGGGGATCAAACCAAGAGCCTCTGGCATGTTAGGCAGGCCCTCTACCACTGAGCTATACCCGTAGCCCAATGTATAATATTTTATATGGAACAAAGGAATAACATATAAATAATAATAGATTATATTATTATATAGCATACAATAGTATGTAAATAATATATAAAGGAACAAAGAGTAATGCAGGTGTAGAGTGATAAAAACATTTCATTTTAGGAATGGTGGACAAGGAGAACCTCATTAACAGACCGTGTATAAGATCTTAAGGAGGCAAGGGACTGAGCCAGGGAGCTGAGGCAGGAAAACATTCATTGCAAAGCCTAAGACAGGACTCCACATGGTCCTTTACAGAATGGCATTGGAGGTCACCAGCTGGAGAGATGGAGTAGAGCTGGGGGAAGTGGTCTGTCAGGGTCCCGTAGCTCTCACGGATGGTCAGCGTGTTGTGGTGCTGAGACTCCCCACCAAGAACACAGCGTGGTGGCTCATCGCCCGCCCTCCCTGCCTTCAGTAGCGCTTCAGCTTTCTCTCCTATGGGGGATGCAGGCCTTCTGTTTTGTCCGTTGTTGCTGCTGCTGTTGTAATTGCTGTCTTTCCTCCCAGTGCGCCTTTTGACTGATCACTCATTACTCCTATATAAATGAAAGCTATTCATTTCCATAATCTGAAATTTTCTGATTTTTCTTATTATATTATTAATTGCTTCTTTGGGGGTTTCTGAGCCTATGATTATATCATCTGGAATATTTTATATTTTTTTAACCTTTCTGAGGCAGGTGTTTTAATTCAATTGCTGTCATTTTTATCACTGATTAATTATTTAAGGCTGATATTTTTCTGTGGGCATTCTATTATCAGTCTTCTATAGGTTCCTGTAAGTGGTGTCTTCAATGTTGTTATTGGCTAGACGTCCCACAATTCACATTTGTATTTTCTCCTTGACTCAGGAGACATTGAAGAGAAGGGGAAGAAAGGGCATGTGCTCTGTTTTCTGGCTATGGAGTTCATTACACAGGGACCACGTCTGCCTTGTTAAATGTGTTACTTGGGTCTTTCATAGCCTCCTCTGTCTTGTCCAGTGATCTCTTATGAGCTAAAGAAAAAAAGTCTTCTAATAGTATATTTCTGCTTCTTATTGAGTCTCCTATGATTTCTCCTTGCTGAACACTTTTTGGCCTGAATTACACTTTCTTTGAGATTCAGTGATAGGCCCTGATTTCTTGTAGAGATATGCTAATGCATATTTATTTTCATTGTTTTTAAATATATGTTTAAGTTAGTCTCTTGTATGTAGTGAAAAGTTGGGTTTAACTTTGTAATTGGATCTAAAATTTTCTTTTTCAAATGAGTCAAGCACATTTACTTTTATGGACATCAAGATGCTTGATCTTGTTTGGTCCCATTGATTTCTACTATGAATTCTAGGGTTTGGGGTTTTTGAAATGTCAACATTCTACATTCTGTCTCTTTGCATTTTGTGTGGGTGTGGGTGTGTACTTCAGATACCTAGGAAGGTTGGCCTTTTTGTTCCGCTGGACACCTGGCCACTGAGCTAAGACTATACCTCACTACATTCCTTACAGTTACGCTGGTGACTGGATTCTGGCCCCGCCCATTTCCTAGTGTGCACTGGTGGGAGCAAAGACACTGGATATTTAAGGATTAGGTTTCTGCTCTTGTCATCACTCTTAGATTTGTCTTTTTATGATACCCTTGATCTTCTCTTTTAGACGGTACCCATTAGTTTCCCATCCAGATTTGTAAAATCAGAATGTGTTCAGTCTCCTCACCCACTCAGTTTTAGACCATTATTATTGCCTTTCAGCTGTTAAAAAATGCTTCACAATTACTCCTGGGTTTGTCCAAATAATACCCTTTGACTCCTAGTGATAAAATAAAAAACTTGCTCTACCACCCATATTTCCCTCTAATCCACCCCCACTCCTTATATTTTAGTCCTTTTGCCAACATTTTTCCAATACTGCCTTGGTTTAGTGATTTAGGTTATTTTCTCAAAAAGGGATCAAAGGAACAACATCCCCCAGGATTCTCTTGTTTGAAATTAATTATGTGTGTTAATTATACCTGAAAAACAATTTGCTAATTATTTATAGAAATATCTTGTAGATTTTTGTCCACATTAAATGTTACTGTGGAAAATTCTGTAGCTGATAAGATTCCCTCTCTTGATCTTTTTGCCTAGGCTGCTCATTCAATCCTTCCTGTAACTTTGAGGTGTGGTAAATTTTCTGGAATATGTCTCAGGGTTGACGGTCTTGAGTGCACGTCTTTGCTACAGGCTGAAAACATGTGTACTGGTAATACATGTGTTCTATGTGATACTAGAACTTCATGTACCTTTTTCTTGACTTATCTTCAAGTATTCCTTCTTTTTTTTTTTCCTTCAGAAACTCCGATGATCTGTTCATGGTTTCCCACTGACTCTTTTCTCTCTACTGATTTTTCTCAATCGTTCTCAAACATCCTTGTTTCCTTTTCTGAATTCTATAATCTATGTCCTTTTTAATTTCTGAATTGTCCCATCTCCTTTGTTTTCCTCCTACAGTTTGACTTCATTGTTCTGATGGGTTTATTTCTTAATTTCTGCATGTTGTAAACAGGAAATATAACTTTGGATTTTCAAGGTATTCCTCTAAATTCCAGCAAGTGTGCCGACATTGTCTGAAATCTTGTTTTCACCTGTTGGACATTCCCCTTCTGTTGTCACCTTCTGCCTGGTATTGAGCAATTCTAAAAATTTTTATTTACTGTGAGTGTTAAAACCTCATGTACTGGTGGGATTGTGGCTCAGTGGCAGAGTGCTTGCCTGGCATGTGTGAGGCACTGGGTTCAATTCTCAGCACCACATATCAATAAATAAAATAAAGTTCCATTGACAACTAAAAAAATTTGTTAAAAACCTCATGTAAATATTCTTTTTAAGAAATAGTAAATCATTGACAATGCAAATATAGGTTTTTGTGTTAATTTTTTCTATGTGACAATAACCAAGGTGGTGTGTTTCGAGATGGGGATTTAGCCTCACAAAAGCATAGTGGAATGAAGGTTTAAAAATAGAATACTTGAAAGCTACTGATATATAAAGCTTGTAAACCTTTGTTTATAGCTCTAAAGGATCGTTTTCTCTCTTTTCTGTTGAAGGGAAAAAAAGACTTCATAAAGTAAACCATCTCCAAAAAGGTAAGGAGAAATGTTAGCCTTCACTCCTTGAGCTTGCTGTCGTCCTGATCTTTCTTCCAGATCTCACCTTTGCTGCAGCCCCTAAATCTCCTATGAACCACGATAACTGATTAACTCTTGGTTTATTAAGAATACAGGCTAAGTCATTGTAACAAGGATATCCCCAAATGCAGGCTTAAACCAAACAATGTATATCTCTTTCATTTAACCGTTCAGGGGTGGTAGGAAGAAGCTGCCTTCCTTGACATGTGGTTACCATTTCTGGGTCCAACAAGACTGACCTTGTGGTTGCTCTCTCTCAACCAGTGGGAATGGGAGAAATGAACAGAACAACCACCATTGGTTTCTTGGAAAGAAGTCTTCTACTCAAATCCCATCAGCCAAAACTTGGTCACTTGGCCAGAGTTTGCTGCAAGTGAGGCTGAGAAGTATAATCTCTCCCCAGCATCCATGAGGGCAGCCATAACTCTCTTCTTATAGAAGAAAGAGAGGATGATTGTGGGTGACAAGTAGCAGCCTGCCTACTTGCCCTCCACGTTTGCATTCAAAGTCACCAGTTCCTCCAAATGAGGAAAGCATTGGTTCAAACCAAGCCTTCTCCACATTGAGACCCTTTGGCATGAGCAAGAGCTGGAACCTGGGGTGCAGCACAGAATTACAAGCCAGAGATGAGCCATCCCTGATTGGAAAGTGGGAGGAGAGGGCAAAGTGTTAGAAGGGGGTATTGTAACTAATTGATCCAGCCCCTGGTGGAACAAGGAGAAATAGACGGTGGGAACTCAAATCAAAAGCTACTGCCCTGGAACCATGTTGGGTCTAAGCCTGGGAAACACAGTTACTCAAACCAAACTCAGAGCACACACCGTGTTGTACTTGGGTGTTGGAGGAAGAAGACATAGGATGTTCCATTGTTTGCTGCACAGGCTACAATGTTTTGTTTCTATAAAATACTTCTAGTGTACTTACGTGGTAGTGGTGTCGGGGCTTCTTTTTTTCCTCTAGAGTTAAAGCATCTTTGGATATATTTTTTTTCTTTCCATTACTTCTAGCATCTCTATCATTTTCCTCTCCATCCCTATCTTATCATGTTTGTCATATCCAAATGTGTACTTACCCAGGTCTGAGACATTTTTCCTTTGAGCTTCTACTGGTTCCCATGGCCGTCTTTTTGGTAGATCCTTGATGTCTCCCAGATATGGTGAATGAATGAGCCACATTCTTTTTTTTTAGTTCTTTAGAGACCCAATATAGAGGAAATCTCTCAACTCAAGTTCCCTTAATGCAGAAACTAACCGGCTGTGGAGATCCGCACTCCTGCTGGGCCACCGTCCACGTGATCCATCCTAGTGATCTTTCTGCACAAAGTATCTTTCAAGAAGAACTAACTGAACTCCTCCTTTCCCCGGGGAAGCCCATGAAAATTGTCCTTCCTCAAAACTCCAGTGGGCCTGTGGCTGGCTCCTGGCAGAGTCTCCCTTGTACTTGTCCCACGGTCAAGGCTGTAAATATTTCCGCTCCTCCAAATTCCTAGAGATGCAGGCCAATTACCTTGAAGGCAAAGCCTTCTCACTTTCCTTGAGGAGAGGGGATTTCTTAGCTCAATTCTATAGCAAGTGTAGGGTGCCAATCAATGGCAATTGGACAGGAAATCTAAGAACAGCCACATTTCCTGTATGCTTAATTAAATTTGAGGAAAAAAAAAACTTAAAAAGAACGACTCTAAAGGAAAGTCCAGGAGCTCTATGGGATTGGAAGTCTTAAGCCCAAGATCTCTTAATGAGGAGAGCTTGGGTCAACTGAACCAGACAACTTTATGCCTTTAATCTGTTTGACCTCAACATATTTTGATGAAAGGTGAATATAGCAGTACCAGAGAAAGACACAGAGAGATAGAAAAAGAGTCTGTGTTTGCCTAAGGTGTTCACAGCTGAACCAGGGGAGAGAAAGAGGGTATCTTGGCATGGTGAGCCGTGCCTGCACACACCACCTCACTGCTCTCCACCCACACCCACTAACTACTGAATCTGAGAACATCTTTCCCTGAGATAGGGTTTCAGTGAACCACTTTTTTTCTGTCTTTAACCTTTAGGCTTTCTAAGATTTTAACATTTATCTCTACAATTCCCCTAGGGCAGTGTCCTTTTGCTATTATCTGTTCAAAACTATTTAAATAAGGTCTTTGGTGACTTTCATTTTCTTTTCAGCCCAAATTCTTGACCAGAGCTAAGATGCTAGTGTCTCATCCTTGTAGCACACCCTCCCTTCTCCCTGAACAATCCAAATTCTTATGTTGCCACCATTGATTTCTGCCTCTCAACCAAAGGAAATCTACAATGTTTCACTTCGTTTTTTAAATTTTTGTATGCTTCAGTTTCTTCATTGGTAATGGGGTTTTAAAAAACATTTCTCTCCTAAATATACTAGCATATGTATGTATTGGTGGTACACACCTGTAATCTCAATGGCTCAGGAGGCTGAGGCAGGAGGATCCCAAGTTCAAAGCCAGTGTCAGCAACTTAGCAAGATCCTAAGCAACTTAGTGAGACCCTGTCTCAAAAAATTAAAGGTGCTGGGATGTGGCTCATTGGTTAAGTGCCCCTAGGTTCAGTCCCTGGTGTGTGTGTGTGTGTGTGTGTGTGTGTGTGTGTGTATCTTGTATAACTATCTAGAATATAATAAGCACTTAAGTGTTAGATATCATTATTATTATCACAATGTTCTTTGGTATAATATGTTAATTTTTTATTGACATGGGAGTAAATGAATTTGGATCAATGTCAGAGTAAATAAAATGGAATCTCAGGTGAACCCAGGTTACTATTAAAGGCTTGGAATTTGCAAGGCTATGGACTACATAGCTTTCATTATGTATCAGACTCTTGAAAAGTTACAGTAAAGTAGAAATTTGAAAACCGCTGTTATGCAATGCAACTGTTTTATATTTTTCCTTTTTTCTCAGAAATAAAGAAAGGCAGACATAGATTCCACTCAATTCAGAATAATGCCCTTCAAAGGAAAAGAGGTTGGCCAAAAGGTAAGAAAGGAAAAGAAACGTTTTCAACAAACATTAAATTCTCGTGTTTTATTTTGTTCTTTAGTAACAAACCTGTTTCCCTAATTGCTTTATGTAGATGTGCTGACTGTTAAGAAATATATAAGATACTGTCAATTTTCAAAATGGGTCAGGGAAGGAAAGATAATAGCACTACAAACAAAACGTGAGTGATGAGTCTGCCACTCCTCCCCAGGTCCCCGGCCACTCACTGTGGCCTCTGCTGATCTGATAACGTCTAAGGCTCAAAATAGCTCACACACACACACACACACACACACACACACACACCTGTAACTCACAGGAGATGTGTCCACTCCCACTTCCCTGACGCCCTGTGGTAATCCTGCAGACTTGGGCCTGCCCCTTCGCCACTTCTGCCTCAGTTTACTCCTAATAACATGAATCAGACTGGCTGCCCTCCCAGGCTCATCGCGTTCATAACGTGGCTTCCCTTGAGAATCTCCCACCCAACCCGGCGAGCACCTTGGACAGCTGCCTGTCCTGCAGGGAGAACAGCCGGCCCCTGTGGAGTGTCTGCCATGGCCCCTCACCATTGCTGCCTGGAAGGGTAGGAACAGCAGCTCGTCTTCCTGGAGTCCACCTGCAGATCTTCTTTCCATCCCACCTGTAGAGGTTCCACCCTACCATGTAGAAAGCCCCCTTTTTCCCTGGGAAATTTGCTGATCCTTCTAGAACTCTGCTGAGTTTCTCTTTCAGCCAGGAGAAAGCTGTGGCAAAGGGATGATGAAGCAAGCAGAGAAGACATTTATCTGCCTGTCTCCTAGGTTGCCCCATTGTGATTCAGCCAGTCTAAAATCAACCTTCTCTGGATACGTGTATATATATATATATATATGTATAAATGGAATATGTACATACAGAAACATACGTATATTTATAAATATAAATACATATATGGCCATAAATTTCTCACTAGTAGAGCAAAAGCAGTATCTTCACTGCCTGTCCATTCTTAATAGTGACAAACTTGCTTTGAAATTGAGGTGTCGAATGGTCCTTCTAGAAGGTCCACCCCCTGCTGCAGTTACTTTGGGCAGAGTACTTCTCAAAAACGCTCCAGTCCTGCTCCCAGGAGGCCCTGGCAATCATGGTTCTTCTCTGTTCCTTTGTAGGCCCTCAGCACAGTCCTCTGCCACCACTTTCCTCATAACTTTCACACTTAGAGCAGGAGTGAGTCTGATCGTGTCTACGTCCCTCACATCCCCATGGCCAGACACAGTGATGTCTTAAAGACTTCTCACTTGGCTTGAAGGAGATGTCTGACGATTCTCTGTCTCAAAAAAAAAAAAAAAATGTAGGCTCTTTCATAAGGCCTGGGGGTGGGGCAGTCTGATGCTGGCAGAACCGGGCTCCCCCTTTCCTACCGTGTTCTGTGAGCAGGGCTAGACCAGCACTCTGCTTGAGGATTTAGGATCCCATCACACCATTCCTGGATCCTGAGACATCTGCTGGAACTCGGAGAAAACCCAAGAGTCACCTAAACATCCTAACCTCTTTTGCTCAAAATTATTTTTAATGACTTTCACTTTTTTCTGACCACATTGTTATTTTTGAAAGTTGATATAGAGTTTTAATAGTAGTAACAGTACTAGTAGTAGTAAAGTGGTTACTAAGACTAGTACACACAAGAACAGTTAAATCCTGCTCTGTCCGGGTGTTTTACTTCCTGACTGTAAGATAGGGCAAGCCGTTGTAAAGCCAAGTTCACTTTATCAAATATGATCTGGTCTTCAGTCCAAATTTCTCTAAGCCATGAACTAAGAGGGAGCACAATGATCTTTTGTCTCTACGCCCTGAAGTTGTTTGCCCTCGCAGGTTTTGATTGAAAGGAGAGATTAGCTAACCCACTAGCCCTAGGAGGATTTAAACAAAGAGAGACTAAGAGAAAGTAATGGCTGTTGCTGGAAAGATCCAGTTGCAGCCAAGGCTGGCGCTCCAGTTTGGCCACCTGATGAGAAAGGAGAGAGCAGATAGAATAGGTGTCATCTCATGGAACCAGGAGTGGAGAAAGAGAGAGAGTTGGCCTGAGTCCCTTCAGCATCGTGAGTGACAGGGAGAGAGTCCCACAGAGAACCACACCTGTGTCAATGACCTTTCACCCTGGCCACCAGGAACTATCACACCCCAATCATATTCTTTGAAACTGATCAAATTAGAGCAATTTGTTCTGAGGCACAATCAAGGAGTGTTAAAAAAAAAAAAAAAGGTTCATCTACCTCCTTGAGGACTCCAATTTCCCATTTTGTTTGTTCTTCTTAAAACTTTGAGTATAATAGCCAAGTTGATTGTTCTTTCATGCAAGGTTAGTAATTCCTCACTGCATGTATCTCTGTAATATCTTAATTAACTTCCTAAGGGTGATGTCTTGTGAGGTAGGACAAACTTGATTTTGGGATGTGAATCATCAATCAATGTCATCTGGGGCCATTTTTATCTTGATGAGGTTTAAAAACATAAAAGCAAAAACCTCTGAGTAACTCTTACAGCAAAGGTTCAGAAAATAAAATAACATCCACCCTGAGGGTTCTTTGTACTAGATTAAAGGAAAGACCTCTCCCCAGCCTAATCTGGTCACAGTCAGCTTAAAGGAAAGCACATGTATGATTGTGTACATGGAGGAGGTTTTCTCCTAGGATCTATACTGCCAAATCAATACCCCACAATGACAGCCATGAGCACGGAATCACAGGCACAGGCTTTGAGAAGTGTGAGCGGGCACTCCATGTCCCTGACTTTAACAGCCACAAACAACAGAATGATACAGTCTTAAATTATCACATGGAGTGACTCAATCTTTCTTTTTTTTTTTTTCTGCACATCCAGTCAACACATAAAATCAGATTCTACATTTTTCTTAGATATCTTTTAAGTCAATTTTTTGTGCTGTCTTTAGCTCTATAACTCTTAGACTTTGAGCCTTAATTTCTACAAATTCCCCCCCTTGATAACTTTCACTAGCTTAGTTTTGAAGTCCTTAGCCATTTTCTCCAGTATTTTCAGTAGAAAAATCTTTCAAGTTTAAGTTTGGGCGTGTGATTGATGAAGTCTGCCATGAGATCTGTCCCAAGACCTTGAATTGCTGTTTTTTTTCTCTTTCCCAAAGGAAATTTTCACTACTTTTCTTTAATTTGTTTGTTTTTTTTTATAAAGTTTTTCTTTTTGTAGCTGTAGAATGCCTTTATTTTATTTGTATATGGTGCTAAGGATGGAACCCAGTACCTCGCACATGCTAGGCAAGTGCTCTGCCACTGAGCTACAGCCCCAGCCCTTAATTTGTTTTTTAAAAATCTCTGAGCATCAGTTTCCTCACCTTTAAAGTGAGAATAGTTGTAGTAGCTGTTTAATAGATTTGTTCTAAGGAGTTAGTAGAGACAAAAGTTTTCTTCATATTGTTCTCACCCTGTTGCTCGGGAAACAACATAAATCAGTGTTTCAGATGTGTTTGGGATGGATTGTGGATACTAATAAAGAAATGTAAGGTGAATCTCAGGTAAGTATTACTTTTATTCTTATTGTAATGATACCAGGAATTGAACCCAGGGGCACTTAACCACTGAGCCACATCCCTAATCCATACATATATATATATATGTGTGTTTGTACATACTTTTTTGAGACAGAATCTCTCTAAGTTGCTTAGGACCTTGTTAAATTGCTGAGGCTGGCTTTGAACTCACAATCCACCTGCCTCAGTCTCCCAAGCACCGGGCGCCACTATGTCTTGCAGCATTACTTTTAGAACTAAGTGTAGGTCAGGGGTCAGCAAACTATGGCCCACAGGGCAAATTCCGTTCTCCAAATGTTTGTTTTAAGGTTTATTTAAACAAATCCACATCCTTTCATTTATATATTGTCTTTGGATGTTTTCCTGATACAACTCCAGAGTCAAGGAGTTGCATTGGAGATCATGGACACAAAACCTTAAATATTTACTACCTTTACAGAAAAAACGCCTGACTTTTGATCTTGGCATTTGTATTTTTCTTTAAGTACTAAACAAGATCCTGTAAAATTACATTTAAATGGTGTTTTTGAAAAACATGGTTATTTGCAATGCAATGTTGTAAACAAGAGATAATCGTGCTGCTTCTCAACTTTCTCAGGGAGAAAAAGAGTCAACGTTAGACCCTTGAAAAGAGGGAGAAAAAGAGGTAAAAAGATGCAATCAATAGACTTTTAATAATTAAACACCTAAATTCCTGTTCTACAGTCTGCGTTCTGAGTGATAAATCAGTTTCCATCATTGGTTTAAGGAGCCCATTCCGAACATTAGGATCTTCGTTGGCAGTGGTCAGTTTCAACCACACGGCAGATCAACGTGAACTCCCATTCTATTGACTAGTCAATTGATCTGAGAGGCCCCAAGCCACCCTGTCCTGCACCTCCTTTCACTATGCCCACAGCTTTTGAGGAGAGAAATATAAAGAAAAAAATATAAACTTTGTGATTGTCATGATACTTGGCAGACCCTTCTCTGGCCAGGTAGAAAGCTGTAGATGGCACAGAAGTAACACCAAACCCACGTTCTAACCCCCAGACTTCCTGGACTGCGTGGCTTTAGCCTGTCGTTTGCCACTTTGGGCTCCGTTTCCTCATCTGTAAAGATGTGGGGAAGGGTGTTTGGTAAATTAGACCAAGTTCCCTGCTGGGGCTCCCCCAGCTCTGATAGTCTGTATCTCTGAAATGGCTCAGGAAAAGCCATAGACAGCTCACTGTCCCCGTCCCAGAGAGAAGTCCTGGCTGTGTGCTCGATGGATCTCCCGGATCTTGGCTGGAAAGGCAGAAGGTCATTTTAAGACCTTCAATACTGATGTCCGTGGAATCAAACCTCAGTGACCCCAGGTGGGGACTGCAGGGGTCCCTGAGCCATTTGAAGTTTCTTCTCGAGCCCCCACCCTGAGCCATTGAGGAAGCTCGGTGGAAGATAAGTGAAGCAACTCAGAGAGCAGAGAGAGAGAGAGAGAGAGAGAGAGAGAGAGACAAAGAGACAGAGAGAAGCTACCCCATTAGGTGCCCTGTGCCACCCTGCCCTGTTCCCCCAGTCAAAGCCTTGAATGGGGAGACTAGACTAAAATTTAGTTATTTTTTTCCACATGCAGAACCTCAAAGTCATAACATGATTAGAAATACTTCTTCAAAACACCAGGAGGAAAGTCATTGTGCGGTAGGAGTTGTGGCCCCACAAGTCTGGGAGCTCAGCTTTTGCCTCACGAGGCTTCATGTTAGGAATTCAGAAGGTGGGAGTGGAGGGTGACATTATCGATGGGCATCTAATCGGCCATAAAAGAAAAACCTTGAAATCCAATACATTTTGAGTTATAAAAGAGGGATCTCAAGATCGATGGGGAGACAGAGTGCACAGTTTTAGAGGAAGATGGAGTTAAAAACAACAATAACAACATCTACTACTTCTTTGCAGGACCAAGAATTCCCAGAGAAAAAAATGTGAATTTCAACCTTCCTAAACTTCCTGTGACCTGTGGTGAGGCTAAGGGGACTCTCCATAAGAAGCAATTTAAGCAAGGTGAGTTTTGTTACCTTCGATTTTTGTTCAGGAAGTAGATCTCTGTGTGGGGGTCTCTGGGTCCAGATCCAGGTCTGGGGACCCACCAGGAGGACTCCTAGGACTCAGGATATCACCCCACACCCAGGATTTATTAAAGTGGAGGGATGATATAAAATCAGCAAAGATAAGAGGCCCATGTGGCAAAATCCAGAGGAAGCCGAGGCTGGCTTCCAGGGGACCCTCCTGGTGGAGTCACGCAGTGCTCCCTTAATTCCCCATCAACAAACTGTGACAACACAAGTGAAGGGTCTTCTACTCGGACTGGCCTGAGCCTAAGAGTCCAGGATTTTTTACCAGAGGTGAATTTCATAGGCACCCTCTGCCTAGCACATTCCAAAATCCCGACTCTCAGGAGGAAAACAGGTTTTCTGCATAAACCATGTTGCTTGGACAGTTTGGACACAGTGAGTCATCTCATCAGTTCTGGGTAATGGTAGAATTGCTTCCAAGATCCATATTCCCAGATACCAGCCGGGGGTCCAACTTGCAAGTAAGCCTCTCTAAGGATAGAAGTTTCTTTTTTTTAATATTTATTTTTTAGTTGAGTTGGACACATACCTTTATTTATTTATTTTTATGTGGTGCTGAGGATCGAACCCAGGGCCTTGCATGTGCTAGGCAAGCGCTCTACTGGTGAGCCACAACCCCAGCCCCAGGATAGAAGGATCTTATCGGTATTAAGTCCTTATGGCACAACATCCCAGGTAGGCTGCAGTAATGTGGCATTTTCACACTTGTAAAATTCATAAAACATTACCCTACCAAGCCATCTACCCTTTCACTCATGAAAAAGGCCCACAGGATGCCCATCTGGCACCCGATGCAGTGAGAAACATTTCAACACTTGATGGAAAATGTGTACATGTGAGAAATTCAACATCAACCTTCCCGGGGCTGTTTCCTATAACATTTGTTCAGCTTTAAGTAGGAAGAGCACAGGACTTTAAAATAAACCTGCATTCAAGTTTTAGCTATACCAACAGGTTATTAGTTTATTTTTCATTACTATAATGAAATACCCATGGCAGGATACTTTATAAGGAAAAAGGTTTATTTAGCACACAGTTTCAAAGTCTGATGTCCAAGAGCTGACAGCCTCCTGTGTTTGGCCCTTGGTGATGGCTTAATGGTAAGATGACATCATGGTGGGAGTCTCTAGTAGGGAAAGAGATCACATCACAAGATAGGAAAACTAGAGAGTTATTGGGGTCCCATAGCAACTACCTTAAGTACTCCCAGGCAGTAGCTTCAGTGACCTAAGGACATCTTAGCAGCCCCACCTCTTAAAGGTCTCACCACCTTTGACATCACCATAGTAAGGACCAGGCCTTCAACACCTGAACCCTTGGGGAACACACTCTAAGTATATCCAAACCATGGCAGACAGCATCTGTGTCATCAGCATCAAGGAACTCAGTCTCTCTGACCCTGAACTTCCTCCTCTACAAAATGAGAATAATAAAGTTTCCCTCACCATATTATTATGAGGGGGAAAAAAGAGACAATAGGTTTTGCCAATTATAATTTAAAGTGTAGCATGAATGTTCATCTCTCCTAATTGATCCTCCCTCCCACAATACAGTTCTGTGGGTACCAGGTATCAGTGTTTGCCCTGTGACTCTACTGCCTATGTGTGATTTAACGTTTTCCTCCATAACACTTCCATAATTACTTTTAACATCAAATAGCCATTATTCCAAAATTTGAAAAATCATCAGTTGTCATTAGCAGGAAGAAGGTGTTGCACAAGATGAGGCAGATGCACCTGTAGTGACAACTTTGACATGGCCACCTGGGTTCGCAGGAACTCAGCAGGCGCTTTGTGCCTTCATCAGACTTTCTGAAACCCAGGCTGGTTCCATCCTGAGGTGCAGAGAAAGGGGAAGAAAGAATCTTGCTCATTATTTAGGATCATTCATTTTTTTTCTCTTTTGATGGAACAAAATACTTTAAGAAGGTAACGTCAGTGGTAATTATTCCTTTCATCACATGAAGGTCAAAGAAACACACACACATGAGGGGGGTCCCCCTCTGTCCTTGCCTTCCGGGCTGGACTGGGGTCCCTGATGTCTGAAAGGAATCCGTTTCCTGACCCACAGCAGCCTGGGCCCAGCGTGAGGGAGGTCCACCATAGCATTTCCTGGCTGGGAGCTCAGCTTCCTTGGTCTTGCAGGGGCCCAGATGAAGAGCATAAGGACTGAGGATGGAAAATGGCTCACCCCCAGGGACTTCGAGATCAGAGGAAACCACGCAGCAGCCAAGAACTGGAAGCTAAGCCTGCGCTGCCACGGATGGACCTTGAAAGAACTGATAGAGGTATTCTGTGACAAATGGCTTCCATCAAAGGCCCACCCACATCAACACCAGGCTTCCGCAGAGTGTCAGTGTCCCAAAGCCCATCGTGATCCCCTTGCTCAGGTCATCATGTGAGTGTCCTTACGACGTGCCACTGAGGCGGTACCTTGGCTGGCTGAGGCCCTCTAAGCACGTTCACTCATGTCCTTGAAGGCAGGATGGCACACTGTGGCCGGGACTCTGCCATTAATGAACTGTGAGATCTGGTCACATGAAAGTCACTTAAGGTGGAGGGAGAAAGTGTCCTTAAACTTGGAGGGCCAATGTTAAAAGTCACCCATTACATACCCAAATATAATGCATCTGTGTGGGTAGTTCCTGGTAATAGAATATTTCAACAACATCTCTTTTGATAAGCCCATCAAATTGATTCTTTAACAATTGTTGGGTGAAAGTGAGAGAGAGAGACAGAGACAGAGAGAGAGAGAGAGAGAGAGAGAGAGAGAGAGAGATGCTGGGAAGAAAAACCAAGACCTTGAGGGCAAGACAAACACTCTTGTACTGAGCAAGACAGCCCAGCCTCCTCAAGTTTACTCTTGAAAAAAGGGTATAAATAAAGTGCATTTTAAAATAACTCCTTTCCTCCTACATCAGCTGCCGACATGGAGGAAAGAGGAATAGGTCTCTGTTGCAGATGAACACCTGCGTGGCTTTTGCCTCTGCGTACATCCCAGGTGACCTTTACTTGTGGCACAAGGAAAGAAAAGGTCTGCTCTCAGCAAATGTTTACTGAGCAACATACAAATCTAGGAGGGCATCCAGTGTCTGAGCCCTTAGCCAGGATTAAGGCCACACATTGAGAGCAGGACTGCAGGTGCCGCTGCTGTAACAGGAGGCACCAACGGACACAGCTCCAGTAGCTGGGGATGGGATGGTCATCTCCAGAAAGCTCTGAGGTTGAGGAAACTTGCATAGAAAAATTTGCACCGAGCTTGGTCTTAAAGGAGATCAGCTCTGACAAGGAACAGTGTAGAACAGGGCATCCTACAGTGCAGAAGGGATGGCCGGAAGCTCGGCTCCTGGGAGTGTCGAGAAGTTGGAAGCAATGAGACCCAACAGTCACTGGGCTGGCTGTAGAGGTCATGTGGCCAGAAGGAAGAGCCTAAATGTCCTTCAATTCCAAATGACCTCCACGAAGACACCTGAGTTTGAGTTGACAGTGAGACATCCAGGTAGAAAGATCTGGAAGGCAGTCAGAAATACCACCCTCAAAAATAAAAAATAAGGCCCCATCATCACATCATTGATCAATCTTTTCTCTCTTTCAGGCAGGGCATCTACCAAACCCACCAATAACAAGAAAAAAGGTGATTATCCCATGACCTTCTGCCAATGTCTCAACCGTCAAATTGTTGATTTTCCATTTCTGTTTTAAATTGATCAGTTATGATAAAATCTGTCTTCATCAAATGGTGTTTGTGTAGTTGCTGCTTTCAAACATTTCTTAGCATAAGAGGTCAGAACTTCTTTGAGCATTAGAACACGTGAGATGGATGGCGGTGGGAACCATCCTTGAAAATAGACAATAAAGCAAAACTGTCCTTGTATGTATGTGTTAGTGAAAGGTCTGAGTGCCACATTATCTTAGAATTAAACAAAAAAATAATGGGGCTGGAACTGGAAAAGCAAGCATAATTAGCAATTCACAAAACAATACTTCTAATGGCCATTGTCTCTGCGTTCTCATCTTAAGCACTGTCTGTCACTGTTTGGGGGGTTGTGTCTTCAATGAAATAAGAATGGAGCAAAAGTTTTCCGAGAAATATCCCAGGGTCCCTCCAGATGACCTATTGCAAACTTCCCCTGGGAAGGTGTGTCACAGGGAAGCAACAGTAAAAACCAGACTCCTTTCTTTTCTGTCTTTCGTCTACTAAACACACACACACACACACGTACACACACACACCACGCGCGCGCACACACACACACTTCTTCAAGAGAATTGTTTTTCCTTTATGACACACTTGAGAATATAGTGACTGAAGGCAGAAGTACCCTGCAAGTCTGCCGTGATGTTTGGATGTCATTTGAGTGTGCTCCGCAAGGGTTCGTGTGTTGAGATTTCATCCCCTTTGTGAGGTATTAAGAGGACAGAAACTGAATCCAACGATGGTGTCCAGAGGTGGGACTCTTGGAAAGTGATTAGGATTAGATAAGGTCACCAGAGTGGAGCCCCAAAGGCTGAATACGGTGGCTTTGTAAGAACAGGGAGAGAGACCAGATGCTGTCCACACGCACTCCCTGTCTTTTGCCGTGCGATGTCCTGCATCACCTTTGGACTCTGCAGCAAGGCCATCATCAGATGTTGGTTCCTGAACCTCCAGAACCTCGTTTCTTTTTTTCTTTGTTTTTCTAATAAAAACGGACGTGGGTATTTTGTTATAGTAACACAATATGGATTACTACGGCTGCTGACATGGAAAATCCTGTCCTCTGTGAGAGGCCCTTTGACCCCGCCAGAGGGTCTGTACAGACCTCACTTCCATCCATAAAGGCGGATTCTCCTTCATGGCAGTGGTCTGTGGAGTGCATGGAGGAGCAGTTTCCTTGCTGTGTGGACTGCAGGGAAGGTGTGAGCCTGTCGGTGCCTTGCGTGGCCTCTCCAAGCCTGGCTGTCCCAGAACCTGGTGAAGCGAGGAGATGGGGGAACCACCACTCCCTGACCTCTGACCCTGGTGAGCTTGTATTTCTCTTCCACATCAAGAATCCAGTCCTCACAAGGCCGGCTCTGGAACTCTCTGCTCACTGGCTTCCTGGCCAGACACTCAGTGACCAGGCTCTGGATCCATTGGGTTTTCTGGAAAAAGAGACATTATTTGATCTATTTATTAAGGCCAAACATGTCCTCGCAGCCCCGGAGCCAGGGGTGACTCTGCCCGGGATGATTAGTTGGGTTGAACGTCACTCATCCTTCTCTCTCCAAGGCCTTCCTTCCACGGTCGTTGGCTTCTGATGCCCATGTCACTCTCTGCGCCATGCGGCAGGTGCTACTGTCAGCATCTTCTCTGTTCCTGCATTTCCTGATCAAACCTGCTGGTGATAGCTAAGACTCTCTGGGCTAATAAGATCTGAAAGTCCAAGATGATCACTTCCTGGCTGCTAAGAAACCTCTTCTTCTGAGTCATGACCGTGTTCATCTCGTCATGCCCTCGAGTATTCAATCACCAGCCCTCTGGGGAGCAGTACTAGTGCCAGGCAACGAGCTTGACCAAAGGCAGCCAAGGGGGGCCCACACAGCAGGCCCCAAGGACTGCGTTCTCCTTGTCTCACCTGAGAGAATAACTAATACAGTGGGGGCCCATTCCAGGCCTCTCAGAGAGGAGCAGTGAGAGGGTCACCTCTTCAGTCAGTTGTACCTTGCTTCACATCGGGTGCTTTGTCTATGACCTCTCTGCCCCAGGCTGAAGGCAAATGTGAGGCCACCAGTGCTCCAGATTGGAAGGAGCACACATCATTTCAAAGGTATCCAAGGTCAAGGCCAGCTCCTGGGGTTCAGGGGAAGTGGAAAGGTTCTTCTCTTCAGGAAGAGGCACTGCAGCCCCAAGGACCTTGGACACATTTTGTCTTCAGGGAGGGGCTCCAGGAGAGCTGCAGGGGGCAGTGGAAGTCTTCTGAGGGACACCTGCATGGCCTCCAGGACTGGGCCCTATGGTCACAGGGGGCCTTGAAGGATGAGTCCTCAGCCTAATTCTCACTGCAGCTCTCTGGGTGGCAGGACACCTCCTTATATACAGAAAATGCCGGAGGGTTGCAGGTAGGAGCATCAGTGAGGTTTCTCCAACTCAACCAGGAAAGGAGGGCCAGACTCCCTGCATGACTTCACACAGAGTCCCCCTGAGTCTTAGAGGCAGGGAAAGGAATTTTCACTGGACTGAACGGTCTCAGACACATAATTTAATGTGTTCTCATTCTCATTAGGGCAAGTAGCCCATAAAAGCAGGTACAAAACAAAACAAATAGAAGGATATGGCCTAAATCCCTTCAATAAATAAGTCTATTCAAATATGTGATTAATAAAACATCACATTCAATATTTTCACTCCAAGTTTCTCTCTTTCAGAGGAAAACACGGGAGTCTCTCAACAATGTCTTAGTTGACCCCCATGTAAGTACTATGTCCAGCTTATCCCCAGACCTCTGCCCTGGTACATGTCCTGTATCGTGTCTGCTTCTCCCTGACGCGCTCACTCCCTGTTGGAGTATGTTGCTGTGTGTAATGAACAAAGAATACCAGCCAGGGACATGGCTCTGAGGCTGGGTGTCTCCACTGAAACCACCCTTTCCATCAGTCTAATTGGAAAACTTCCCGTGCCCTCATCTCCCCTCAAAAGTGGGTATGGGAGGCTGAACTTAGACAACTGGGGTATCTAGAGGCAGAGCTTGAGTGGAAAATACAGGTCTGGCCTGAAGATTAGGGGGTGCAGCAAGTTTGATTGGAAAACAGCTCTTTAAAGAAGGCAGGATAGACAGGAAAATATGCGACATCCACTCAGATGCAGGCAAAGAGCTCAAGGTGGTCTTCAGTATCATCCTGAGGGAACAGGCTGGGCCCAGCTGGCAATTCGAAGTGTGGACCCTGGACCCTGTCCTTAATCATGCATAGATATGCACAACAGAGCAAGTGGCTCCTTCTTGGAGCCCCTGTGGCCAGTCTCAAGGGAGCCATCGGGAGTACTGTAGCTGGTTAGGACAAAACCATCACCACTCAGCAAATCACAGGGCGCTTTTATTCAAACTGCTTGGCTGGTGCTTAATAATGTGCAAAGCATTCTGTTCCCATGCGTCCTGTCCATTTTCAGCTTGCCATAATGCTGCCTGCTTTGGGGTCTGCCCAAATCATAGATGACTCCTCTTTCTAAGCCAAATCACACCTGGATTCTTTTCATGAAAATGAGATGCACCTTTTAGGTAGGTCTGGTGTTTGCACAACTGCAGGGGACACCTCTCATTATAGAATGCTATGCAGCTGGACTGATGCAGGATGCCAGCAAGAGGGATAAAAAGTGGGGGTTGCCGTGCCCTCTGGTTTGCTGTCAAATGCACTGCCCTAACAAGATCTAGGTACCTCAACACAGCCGGTGTTCCTGTGCTGGAGTTGGGACCCTTCAGTGGTTGAAGAGCTCTCACATCTGGAGTCTGGATAACTTGATTGACAACAGTCATGGTTCTTGCAGCCCATAGTCAAACCCTCTGTGAAGATGAAAAGGCAACTGTTGCAGTGAGGATGTCCTCGCCCTTCTTCAAGCCCAGCCCTTGCTCAGAAGAAAACCTTGTCTGCACATTGCAATCACCAGGGGTGGGGGTCACCCCCCAGATTCTAATGTCATTGGTTTAATGTGCTTCCCGAGAATGATGATTTTCCAAAGCTCCTCTGTTAGTTTCTTTAGCGCAGCCCCTATTGTGTGTGGCTGTAGACCAGGGCTGCTCCATCTGTAGTGTGTGTGATATCCCCCTGGAGCCAGGCAGGCCACCACTGGCTGGGTCCCATCCTGGCCCCTGATTCAGCACCTGAGGGGTAGAACCCAAGACGGTGGACTTCTAACACGTCCAGGTGATATTGATGCTGCTGATCCAGAGACTATTGCCTTAGACACAGAGGTCTCACCTGATGACTGTGAATTAGAACCACCTGAGCACATTCGCCACCAACCCAGAATCACTGAGTTGAAAAATCTCTGGTCCTGGAGCCTCAGGCCATCTAAAGTGTGTGTGTGTGTGTGTGTGTGTGTGTGTGTGTGTGTGTGTGTGTTTTGCTGGGGATCTAACCCAGAGCCTTTCATATACCAGTCCAGCACTCTACCACTCAGCCACACCCCAGCCCTGAATTTTTTAAAAACTTCCTGGTGACTCAATTCTACAGCAGATTAGAAACCACTGCTGAGCAAAAGAACAAATTTTTCTTCCTAAGAAGATTAAAGAGAGGGACAGGGATGCGACTCAATGGTAGAGCACTTGCCTAGCACACTCTAGTCCCTGGTTTTTATCACCATCATAAAATAAAGTACGAAAGAAAGAAGGAAAGAAAAGGAAGGAAGGAAGGAAGGAAGGAAGGAAGGAAGGAAGGAAGGAAG